GAAGTGGGACTTGCTCTGCTTCTCATTGATGCAAACCAAGTGTTTCTTTTTGCCACCCTCCAAAACTTGTAGGTATGTCCTGCCTTTGGTTTTGGTCAGGTAGATCTTGGAGCAGCCTTCTCCCTCAGCACCCTGCCCATCTGTCCAAGGACATGCCCCTGTCTGACAAAACTGGGAATTGGTTGCTGCATTCTTTCACAGCCTCTTTGAGATCTGTGTAATTGAACAGGCCACTCTTGCTGACAGCCAGCAAAGACATGATCAATGCCTCCAATGCCAGCAAGCCAGCACCTTTGACAGCATTGTTCAACAGCACCCCCTTGTAGCAGCCAAAGCTGAAAGCTTTGGAGGTGCCTTCTTTCTTGGTGTGCTCTATGAGGTTGTTGACCAGCAAGGCTTTGCTGCAAGTTGGTGTGGGCAACCTCTTCACCGTATGCTTTTTCACATGGTGCTTCTGGCTGACACCCAACTTCCCCATGGCGGGATTGCAGGCAACTACCTATAGGCAGGCTTGATCCTGAAACAAATGATTCCCCCATGCAATCCAACACATGCCAAAAGCATATGATGTTCTTTCTGAGCACATGGGCTGGAATGCTTTGCTGGGATGCATATCACAGCCTCTCAAACTCATTTCACTACGATCCTGAGCATGGCATATTTCAGCCATTTTGGCCCTGTGCATACTCATCAATTTCAATATTGCCAAAAGTCATTTTTCAAGCGCGGGCTTTGAATATTCTATGAAGTCCGAGATTGAAATCATCACAATTCAGTATCACAATCATGGAAAATTAGCCTTAAACCAAGATTTCAAGCGCACCATGAAAAATGCAGAAAACCAAGCGCAAGAATGGTTTTTTTCAATCTTTGAGGGTTTGGGAAGGGCACAAAGTGCAAGGCCTGCGTGTCGAAGTGGCGCAAGCAGCACTGGAAGAGCCAAGGAGCGCGCTGAAAGCCCCACTGGCAGAGCTAAAAAGCGGCGTGCGAGCGAGCGTGCTGATGGACGGTGCTAGGGTCCGGTTTTTTTCTGGAGCACATACCTTGGTGGGGGGCCGGGGACGACGGTTTTGGTAGGGGGCCGGGGACGACGGTTTCGCAAAACCGCCACGTCCCTTTGAAAGCGTCAAAATACACAACCACCAACATTTTGGTGCATAAGCCACGATTACCTAATATGGGTCACCCTCGGCTTCCCTCAAACCGCGATCCTGTAAGGGCGACAAACCACCACTCCCAACCCCGGCTTCCTCAAAGGAATATACCCCTGTACTTCCCCAACCCCTGGCTACCAAGTAAGAAATTCCACCAACAAAAAAAGAAATTCCCCCAGAAACTAACCTAGTCTGAGAGAAACCGCAGCACCCATTAACTTTGCCACCTTCCACAAGTTGTTTGGGGGCTGCCCTGCGGACGACGGTCCTGCCAAACCCTCACCCCCGGCGGTCTCAGGTTTTCAGAAAGTATAGGGCGATTCATACAACTAGCAAGTCGGTGATGCGCTGCAACATAGTTCGCGTTTTAAGGCCCGAGGAACCGGCCGAGAGCAGACATTGACTTGTCGCATCTTTTGAACTTGAAGCTGCAACAGACCGAAAATACCTCAGAGGGTCAGGGAGTAAAATAACTCCAAGAACTTGACTAAATGCAAATGTTGGGCGCAAGCCTTTTGTCTGCTATAGACCGCCCCCCCCCCCCTTGACGCTGAAGTGGCAGCAGTTCTATCGCTGCTAGGCCCATGACACCCGAACGGAATGTTATGGCACCTGAATGCAACGAAATAGCCTTATACCGTGTCTGTGGAAGTGGAAGGGTGCAGGTGGGGCTGCAAGTGGAAGTGTGGCCTGTCGCCGAAACAGCCCTTGCGATGACCGCGCTACACATTGGTGGAACAAAGTTGACGGTTATTTTCCACGTTTACATGCTTCCATATTTCCACACGTCCACGGTCGAAGCATAGAAGTGTGGAGACATGGAAGATTGGAAGCGTGGAAGTCTGGAGGTGTGTGGAGTGTGGAAGTGTGGAAGTGTATGAGTGTGGACGTGTGGACGTGTGGAAGCGTGGAAATGTATAAGTGTGTAAGTGTGTACGTGTGGAAGCGTGGAAGTGTGGAAATGTGGAAATCTGTAAATGTGGAGTGTTGGAGTGTCAAGTGTTGAAGTGTGGCAGTGTGGAAGTGTGGAATTGTGGAAATGTGGAAATGCAAAAATGTGAAAATGTGGAAGTGTGGAAGTGTGCAAGCGTGGAAGTGTGGAAGTATAGAAGTCTGGTCGCACGGTCATCGACAGGTCTGTTTCGGCGACAGGCCACTTCTCGCAGACATGGCAGGTGTCACGCTTTTGTCAAAGTGTGGAAGCGGGCCCGCGTTTTTCCTAAACCAACCCTAAACAAGCCCAAAACCAACCCTAAACAAGCCCTAAACCAAGCCTAAGCCACCTAAAACGAACCCTAAAACAACCTCAGCAAACCTGAAGCCGCCCTAAAACAACCCTAAACAAGTGTGGAATTGTGGAAGTATGGAAGCGTGGAAGAGGCGAAGCATGGATATGTGGAAGTGTGGAAATGTGAAGACGAAGGGGCGTGGCAGTGTGGAAGTGTGGAAGTGTGGAAGTGTGGAAGTGTGGAAAGTGGAAATGTGGAAGTGTGGAACTGACCCCAAAGAAAACCCGGGAAAAGTCACCGCAAACACAAAAACCGGGACAAGGCACCGCTTGGGCATAGCACCCGGCGCAGGTCCGCCCTGAAGAGCATGGCCTTCTGCTGTTCGCCTTTCAGGGGAAACTCTACCATTATAGAGTTTGCCATTTTGGAGGCCGTTTCTCGGCATTCTGGTGGCAGCACACTGGAGCATTTCTTCGCCAAGTGCACGGGATATTGGCTTGGAAGTCTCACAAAGCCTTCCTTTTCGTAGACCACCTTCAGCGCTCCAGAAATGTTCGCCTTAGTGGTGCTGTTCTTCTGCGCCATTGCTGCGCCAATTTTGTGGAAAAAAACGCAATTCCAGGACAGCCTTATTTGGTGTGGCTGGGAGATCAACTTCTCCCACGACACCATTCAGCTCGTGTCCGCCAAACTGACGAAGCTGGACGCCTTGATCAAAGCACTGCTGGGGAGCAAACGGGTACTCCGAAAACACTCGAGCAGTGCATAGGCCTGCTCATTTGGGCCACCAGCATTGCACTGCATCTGAGATCTTGGCTAGCGCCGCTATACTCTGATCTCAACAGCCCGCCAGGCTCAATGCACTCAATACCACCTTAAATGTGGTCAGCCTTCAAAGCATCCTTCCCAGCCTGTGGATCGCAGTGGGCTCCAAAATTTTGGAAATTTCGGGTCGCGCCATACACTGCCCTCAGGACATCCCGCGTGTGCCGGGCACAAGCAAACTCACGTGGGTACGTATCGCAGATCCAATAACCCTTATACTAGCCTTTCCATGAAAAGGGGGAGCCCGACCGACCCAAGACGCACCGCCTTTTCTTTTTCTGCAGGCGTGTCACTCAGACGCACGAAATGTGTTTTGCCTTGTGTCGTTGCGCCCTGTGTTGTTTTTGTTGGTGTTGTGTGGCTTTGCCTTGTTTGTTGTTTTGTTTGTGGGTGGGCCGGAGGCTTTTGAGAGACGTCTCTCACTGCCCGGTTTCGTCTCACCTTTTCGCATTTGCTTCTCACCTTTCTTGTTCAATTTTTTCCTAGGTGCAGACGCGTGCTGGACACGGAACGCTGCCTCGGGTTAAAAAGTTGGTTGGTTGGTTGGTTGGTTGGTTGGTTGGTTGGTTGGTTGGTTGGTTGGTTGGTTGGGTGGTTGTTGTGGCTGGGCTGGCTCGGCTGGGCTGTTGGGATGGGTTGGGTGGCTGGGTGGGTTTGGCTTGTGGCTTGGGTTGGTGGAGAGTGAGAGTGTGAGTGTGAGTGTGTGTGAGTGAGTGAGAGAGGGAGGGAGGGAGGGAGGGAGGGATGGAGGGAGGGAGGGAGGGAGGGAGGAGTGACTGCGTGAGTGAGTGAGTGAGTGAGTGAAGTCAGCTCAGTCCGAGTCTGTGAATTTGTGAGTTTGTGAATCAGCGAGTTGGTGGGTGAGTTGTTGTGTGCCAGCAAGTGTGACGGAAGGCGGCAAGTCAGTGAAAACAACGGCGCACGTTCGCAGGGCGCAGTGTACAGTTTGTATTTTCATAGTTTTTCCTTGGCTTTCTCAAGGAGCAGTCAGCGCCCTCTGGTTTCTAGTGCTCAATTTGGCAATCAGAGAGATTACGTGTGGATGGGCGTGCTTTTGATTAACACATGCTCACGGCTCTCGCAACAAATGCTGGTCTGGGTGCGGCATGCTCATGTTGACACCTGTTTCAGATATGCTGGGTGATTGATCGGAACCCTGTCACACAAAATGGAGAACCTGATAAACTCACCAAATGTGGTTCGTTTTATCACACGTCAATGAAAAACAAAAACATTCAGATGGTGGTCGCGTTGTTCCTGGCGGCATCGTCCTATGCAACCGATCCTTGATGGCACCCTTTGTGTAAACTAGCGTGTTCAATGTGATATGCTGCCCATGGGGCACTTCGAGAGAGCAACGCCCAAGTGCCGGACATGAATTGCTTCATGGACCTCATACCACTGGCCCATCCGCATGGAGGCCCGGTGGCATGCACCACGTGTTTTGTTGAGCGGCCTGTTAATGGAAACGCAGATTTTGTGATGTGTGGGGCAAACTCTGTATAAAAGACAAGGATATGTTGGTCCTTGGTTCCAACCCGCATGTGGTTCACATGGCTTTGCCTGCGTGACTCTTGTTGATGTATTTGGACAGTACGTGCCTTGGGTCGCAAGCTAAGTAAGTGGCCTGTCTAATTGGCATTTGGGGGTTGATCAATCCTGGCCCGCAAAGGATCATGGGTAACTTTGGACATATCATCTTTTTAGTGGTTTTCCCCAATGATCAACCCGCATTTCTGTTCTGGTTCCCCAAGCTCTACTCTAAGTCAGCTGAATCATTGCCGGCGGCCACAGAACTTTGCTCAAATACGTGTTCACTCGGGAGTTGTTCGTTGACACCCTGCGATGGCAGCAGCTGACACTCAGATGCAAGCTGGGTACCTTTCTGTGGAACCCGTTGTGGGTGCAAACATTTCTAGCACCATTGCTTGCAGCTTGGGTTTTAGCGCAGTGAGGCCTAATTCGCGCACGTATTGTTCAGAGAGAGCTGGCAGTTGCCGAGGAAATTGTCATTCACCGGGATGACATTATCAAAGAAGGCTTCCTCGTCAAGCAGCAGTGGCCTAAGAATTCCAAGTTTTACACGGTCAGGCTGTGTCAACACGGAGGGCCTTGTGCATGTGCAGATGGAAGGGCTTACGTTTGTTTTTGCGCAATGGACGAACAGGGACCATGGAGTCCATTGTGCTTGACACGTGCGCATGCAAGGTCAAAGCACATGAAAGAATGGAGAAGGCTGCGAACGAGAATTGTCATGAATTCCATCGTCACTATTTTGGGGCAGTGCTGCATCCCAAACGAAGCACGGAATGGCCGTGCGCTCACGCGAGGCGGTGGTTTGTCCTCACACCGCAATACTTGTGCAGCTTTAAGAATCAGGGTGCAGGGCTTAGCTCGGTACCAGCTGTTGGCTTGATTTCAGAATGACTCAGGCGAGTACAGAAACCCAACGGAGCACATCAGGTGCTTGGGTTGGCACTAGCATGCCCAGAGTTGGCGCATGGCGCTTGAGCAGTGGACGCACAGGCTGGCAGAATGCTCCACTGTCAAGTCAGCCGACGAGGCAGACCGCTCCACTGTCTAGCTGTCGGCAAGTGAGACGAGTTTGATTTGGACCATGAAGATTGGTCCATGTGGACAAGTGCAAGTGGAGAACAGGGGGGTTAGAGCATCCTGGTTTCAACATTATCAGATCCACGTTTTCAATGTGCTGCAAGTGACGTCAAAGCTTCAATTGTTTGCAGAAGGCAGGCAGTACAAGTAGATGCCTGTGTTGTTGGTGTTGTTAGTATGTCACCTAGTCTGTTTGCAGCACATGTGCGTCCGCCAGGACACCGGCAAAGAGAATTCCTTCCGAGTGGACACACCAGGGCGAGTGTTTGCCTCAACGGGGATTCACAGTTCATTCACTTGTGTCAGAATGCGCTTGAACCATTGCGAACTAAGCTTCAATGCTGCCGAACCTTCCTTGTTGGTGTCATGTGCCTGACTTTTTGCTGCACCGAGGTTTTCTACTTGATTGCAGATTCATCGTCGGACAAGGCTCGCAATTATGCTGCGGGCAGTGGAAGATACACGCAGCCTCGCCAGACAAAGATATGGCAGGAGTCGTGGATTGGCCACATTGGACGCCAGATGGTTCGACCGGCAGTGCCCCTTCACTCGGTTTTATGCGACGTTGTAGGAGAATCTTCAAAACTTCTTGATGTTAGTTTCATATACCGGCGTGTCCCAACCTCTCGCCAGGTAGTCGGTTTAGTATTGGTTTGCTTGCACAAAGATGGCCCATTTTGAGACAAGCCCATGCCTTGGTTGGGGATGTGGAAGCGAATCATGCCTTGTGTTGATGGCTTCTGCTTCGGAAAACACAATCCGCAAATGTCTCTAGCTGGCAGTGGTGCAGGTACTCATGGAAGACCACGGCTTTGAGTGAGTAGCCTTTACTCATCGCCAGCGGCCTAGTCATGTGGTCAAGCAAAGCATGGTGACTGCCCTCAAGCCTTTCAACTCAAGGTATATAGGAGTTCTGCTTTCTATGGAACTTACATGGCACCTTGTGTGGCGGCTGTCCTTCTGGCCGCGCAGTCCAAAGTGAGGTTTCGCTCTAAAGGCTTGTGTTGTTGACCGACCTGCCAGGGAGACCTAGGTATGTGAAGCCAGAGGCTGAAGTTTTGCGTCCAGCACCACATTTCCAGCCATGGATTTCATCAATGAGGTCAACTCGAGCAATCGAGGCGAGTCTCAAAAAATGTGTCGGGCTCAGCGCAGGGCGAAAGACTGCTTGAGTCCAAAAGGGATGCTCCAAGCGAAGTGGGTTGATAAATTTATGACCCTTTATGTATCCCGAACACTTGAAAAGGGCAGCAACAAGGAGGCCTTTGCCAAAAGTAACACAAAGGGAAACACCTGGGAGAGCTCTCATTTTTCTTTGCAGGTTTGCCGTGGTCTCTGTGAAAGGGCAATGTCTGCTAAGGATGTCACCAGATCAGACATGCTGCTGCGCATGCAACCTTTTGCTGAAGCCAGCAAGTTGTGCTTGAGCTGCTCGGTTAGTGTACAGGACTTTCTGCGTGCAGGCGCAGAAAAAGATCCTAGCTGTATGTTTGAGGCCAGGTGCCAGAGATTTTGCTGAATTGAAGCTTGGAGCAGCATGAAGTGGATTGCCGAAGACCAGCTTGCTTGCAACATGGACTTTGTTGATAGGATGCGCAATTTGATTGTTGTCTTTTCGTGTACCTTCTGGCTCAAAGCGTTGCCAACACTACTGGGAGTCGCAGGACAGTTTGTTTCCACGCACTCAACTCGGGTGCCTGATTCAATGCTTGCAGCCTCATTGACTACATTGACTTGATCCAGTTCTGATACCCATTCACAAGCTTCAAAGATGGTGACAGTCACCTTGGTTTCTTGGGTCTTTGTTCAATGGACATGTGGCAGGCCCAAAGTAATCCGGGACTCTGGCTTCATACTGGGCCACCTTTTTGTTAGGCTGGTTTACAAAGCGCAAGCAACAGGAACGCCATTTTTGGAGGTCCCCCCCCCCCCCCCAATTTCGAGACGTGCCTAGATCCTCGTTTGGATGCTTGACTGGCAAGTGTCAAAGAGCCAGGCAATTTGAACGCACTTTGTGTGTGAGTGTAGCAGCTACTTTTGTTACAGTTTGCCTTTGTATGAATGATTGCCCCCTCTTCCCTCGCCAGCGAGGCCAGTCGACTTTGCTACTGTTGCACATCACTTAGCTGTCAAGCAGTGGTTGGTCCCAGAGCTCCAAAGCGTCATCAGTTCAAGTGAGCCTCCTTCGACTTCGCTGCTTTGGAGTTAGGATATCCTTGTACAAGTTGACTTACGAACATTGAGCCTTTGGCACTCCGCTTTGGCGCCAGCCCCTAAGATAAACTCTCTTTGGCATGGCCTAGTCTCTTCAAACCCCCACGCCGACTACTTCTTATTCAAGGAGCCCCCTGGTCAGGTTCCACGTTAGCGGGTGGGGCAAGATCCGGCTTTCCCTGTGTGGCAACACCAGTGAAGTGCTACCCTTTGACTGGACCCGACAGGAGCCATGGTCCGGCTCCTGCTGGTGCTCTTAGCATTGGCCCCAGAAGGCAAGGCGGACAATGCTCAATAGGTGTCCTTGTAGGTCACGCCCGGATGTACACCAACTTCTAGCATGGGTGAACGTGAACACATTTGTGGGTCTGTTTTCCTTTTGGTCTTTGAGACCCGACAAGAGTCAGTCTTGATCTCTCCAACATATTTCCACATGCCAAAAGTTTGGTGGCAATTGTTTGCCCATTTGGGTGTAGTACCAAAGACAGGGATCTCCTTTTGGGATTTTTCGAAGGACACCTAAACGATTCCGGAAGGAAGCCTAAAGGAAACTCAATGGACAGCTGAGCCACAATCAAAACCCGAGATGAAGGTTAGTAAGGGGCAGTCCCAGCCAGAAATAGCCGCGGCCGCCTTCTTAATTCTTTACATGGTTCTGGTAGATCATTTTAATACCGGGTTTTGATTGCGACTCAGTTGAAGATGTCAATGGAGTCTCACTTGCGCTCGCTGAGGCTCTTGGGGCTTGGGAAGGAGTGCAAGCAGATAAGGACTGGCGGCTTTTTGCTCTTGGCCATGGGGGATGCAGAGGGAGACCCGAAAGCCACCGGTTCCCGAATCTTGAGACACACTCACTTCCATCGGTTGCGCAGGAAAACATTGTAAAATTGACAAAGTTCAACTTTGACGACAATGTCAAGCGCGGCGTGTGGTTCGTGAAGTTCTACGCTCCATGGTGTACTCATTGCCAGAGGCAGCGGGGGCATGTTTTCGAGAGTCAATGTTGAGTCAATGCGTCCATTTGCTCGGGCTCTGAATGGGCTCTCTGCTGGTTTCTTGAAAAATGAGGAATTCCGCATTTGGTCGGTTTCCATTGGATTTCCATAAAAAGCCGTGCACAAAGGTTTACCAATTTTTGGCAGCATACTGCCGCTAAAGGCCCTAAGATTGGGACCCTTTTGGCTGTTCGAAAGGTTCATTGAAGTTCAGTGCATTTCCATCAAACTGCTGTGCACAAGAGGTTCCCAAATTTTTTGGCGGCACCCTGCTGCCAAAGTGGCTAGATTTTGGGTCAGCCTATTGTGACAGATCCCCAAAGAGGCGCTTTGCTTCTTTGGTTCACACTCCGCGGGAACCGCTGCGCCAGGCTGGCACCAATCTGGGAGAAGCTAGCTGATGAGGCCGCCGGTGGCCCAGTTTCCTTGGGTCTGTTGGGGGGCGGTCGAGGTCAAGGAGTCAAGAACCACAAGATTGAGCAACACTTTCTAGGTTTCGTCAAGGCATCCGCTGTAGAAGCCGGTTTTGGAGGAGACCGTGGCATGCGCACCCAGGTGTCCATGGATTGGCCGGTGAAGATCGCAAACGCCGGGCTGCCCATCTTCAGCAGCTTCTCTGAAGGGGGGGGTTCCCCTTGGCCGAGAGATCTGTCTGGAAATGGCTGTGGCTCAAAAAACCGGTACCAAAATGGAACCCTGGTAAGTGGAAACATGGACCAAAATCTCTTGACCCCTCGCAGAGTTTCACATGTTTCTTCGGAAGGTTTATTGGTCGAGGTATGACACTATGTCGTGGGTTTTAGCTGACCCTTGGCCTGCTTGGAATGCTGGAAGTGCCAGGTGGACTGTACGGTGAGCAAGTCCATTTGCGAGAAGGCTAGCATAAAGGCCTGCGGAAGCTGCCAAGTTTCAAGACAGATTCAGCGAACGTGGCATTCACTCCATGAGAAGGAGTTTCTTCCACCTTGCTTTGGGATGCAGTTTGCAATCTCCACCATTTGCCGGCATGGCATTTTGTTTGCCACTAGCAGAGTGGGGTGGCGCTTGCGGAAAAATGGGCAAAGCACCTCAGGCGTTTCCCACGCTGGCCCTTATCCATGAGGGTGCCTTCAAGGGCAAGTACCGTGGGGAGGCGCGACAGATCGATCGATCGATCGATCAGCAGCATGACACTGCTCAAATCCGCACACTTCCTCCAACGTCACTTGGTGTGATGCTAATTTTAGCACTAGAGGACGAGTTCTGGGGAGCTAGCGCGGGAAGAGGAGCACAGATAAAACTAACTAGGGCGTTTTTGGTGAGTTGATATGCCACAGCCTTTGTCAGCGTCGAAGTCAACTGCATGCGGATGCAAGTAGAGATGACTCTCTGATTGCAACATATGTTGACCATGGCCTTCTTTCAGTCAGGATGTCAAGGCCAAAGGATGAACTGGCGGGGCAGTCAAACTCAAGTCATCCGCTACTGTTTACCCTGCATGAATAAACATCACAGATCACTAGGTGGGTGTTCAATCAAAAGTGATCCGGACTCCCTCTCAAGTTGGAAAACGGGACTCCCAGAGTCTTGACATCCACCAGGGGTTTTATGAACTTTTGGAAGTTGGCGCATGTTTTTTGTGCGGGGTGGGGGCAGGCCACAATCAGCTCCTTCAAGTCCTGGCTAGCGGAGCAGGGCGTCCTGCAGGCTGAGAGATCGTTCAGAGCTCTACCCTCGCAGATTGAGCCCACTTTTTCCGCACTCCAAACCGTGTCGGGGGACCTCCATGCTACCTGTTGGTTCTCGGGCTCAAAACGTAAGCTGGGGGCTTTGGTTGACAAAGACGGATGAAACCGAGTTTATGGGGGATGACCCAAAGCTAAGACCCATCGCGGGCCCTGGCCCATCATCCATTTTGTTTTGGTGACGACTGTGGAGCTGGGTTGTTTCTCTTGGAAATTCGGTGGATAGGTGGCTATGTGGCAAAAGGTTCAAGCAAACCAATCAGACTACATGCTACATACTTGTTTAGGGGTGAAGTTGTGACACCTGGAGGGCCACCTGAAAATCTTGCCAGGGTTTGGGCCGCCTCCCAGTTCCAAATAGACCAAGTTGGCTCCCTCAATTCTTGCAGTTTTTGGCCGGACATGGCAACACGTGGTCTGTTTTGTCTGGATTCTGTCCACGCAGCTTCTGGCTCTTGATATCCTTGTAGACACGTGGAATGCGTGCTTGTTGTTGATTGTTTGCCGACTCCGCCTGAGGGTTTGCACATAGGAGAGAAGTTTCTTGCACCAGCACCCCAGCCAACCAGACAGGACCCGCAGCCAAAATGTGTCCGTCCTCGCCAAGATGCACAAGCGAGCACTCGGGCTAGCATTGCTTTTTGTCTCAGGTTCTTGTGTCGTCTTGATCGAAAACAGGAGCCTTTCCGGAACAGGGGGGAGGGCGCGCAGCGGCGCATGTCCTTTCCCTGAAACCTCGGATTCCCCGGCGGATTCTCCGCTTGCATGGAGACGAAGCGCGGGTCAGGTGTGCCTTCGGCAGCAATGGCGGCCTCCACCCAGTTTCTCCCTAGGCTTTGGGGCAATTGGTTTGAACCCACGTGTGACCACCGGCCCGGCCGAGGAACAAAAGCTCGATACCCTGAACTCCGTTGCCTCTCATCCATGGACCTGAAACCCCAAATACCAACCCTGGACAAGAAGCTGAAACTCCAACCATGGGGCGATTCCTGCACAGTTTGGAGGGAATGGCCGTGCGCTACGGAAAGGTTGCGTGAGCGACATGGTCGATTTGGGGGTTCTTTCAGGCCCAGGGCTCTGGAGTTTTTCCGTTTGTCCGGTTGCCTCGAGGCGAGCCAGGGACAGGTGCAGCCAGGCGGGTGATTTGGGTGTGGTTGAACTGGGGGTGTCTTCCCCCCGTTGCAGACCAAAGGGAGAGCCACCATGTGCGGGATTTTGAATGTGTTAGCCGTTTGAGCCCGCGGCACAAGGCATCGCGAGGGGAGAGTTTATTGTTTGGGTAGCCTCCAGCCTGGTTGCTTTGGGCCTACATGAATCTTAAGGAAGTTTTCCGCATTGTTCTTTTTTCCACATCATCCCAAGAAGACTTCTCCTTGAAATGGCCCTGTGGTTTTGACGTTTTGGCTCCGCCCCGAAGCCGCCGCCGGAGCCGCCCTGCCCCCCGAAGACCGCAGGCCCGGCGGCGCCGGCGCCGGCGAATGCGAAGGGCCTGGCGGCGAAGCGCTCGCGGGAGTCGGTGGAGTCCAATGCCTCCATCGTCACGCGGAAGGAAGCGGCCCCGCGGATGCGCAAATCGGTCCCAAGGTGTTTGCGAGAGATTTTTAGCTTCTCTTTTTTTTTTGGGGGGGGTTTGGGGGTTTGGGGGTTTGGGGAGTGGGGTGTTTTGGGGGGGCGGGGTTTGGAGGGGCGGTTTTTTGGGGCGGAGTTTGAAGCCCTTTTGGAACCAAAAGGGACCGTGCTTCGAGAGGTCCGCATTCCCCAATTTTAAGAGATATCCCATGTCCGTCAGTCCTCAAACCACCAGGCTGTTCCCCAAATTTCCAGCCAAGGTTCGCGTGGTGAGCACTGAGAAGTCCGAGCACTCTGAGGAGACAGGGATGCAGTGCAAGGATAGCACTTGATTCACTCCCCCGCAGATGTGTCCACTTTTGCCTTCTTTGGCGAGCCATCAGGTCCCATGGCTCGTTTCAAGCAAAGGCCTCGTGGAGGGGGCACACTTTTTCCGCTTGATGCATTGCCAGGCAAAGAGAAGACATATGTAAAGAACCTTAAATGCACTGGGGCAGAGACATGTCAGGCAGTCTTGGGCATTGGCATCAGGATGTAATGTTTGGGCATACAATCACAGCTTTTCACGGTATGAAGATGACAATCCATTTAGAAGAATCTTTTGTGGCTTTCGTGTTTGGCCTCTGATGCCACGATGCGAAGCACTGCTTTGGAATCATTCGAGTAAGCGCGTTTTTTGTTTTTGCTTGCGGCCCAAGTGTTTATTCAAAACCAAGAGACCACCTGCTTTCTAAAGAAAGTTGTCTGCGTTCTGCAGGAGCCGCCCGGTGGGCTCTCCTTGCTACTGGGCCTCTATCGCTTCAACCAGCGCATCACCCTCCATGCCAGGCTGGGAGGTCGAACAGAGCCGGACGGAGAGTTTGGCGCTCGGACATGCAACCGCAATTCAATTCACCCTCTTTCCAATGATAGAAGTGGACAGGAGGCTTGAAAGGCTACCTTGGTTTGAAAGAGGCAAAATAGGTATGCAGGGCGTATTTGTTGAATGCTTGTGAAACGTGTTTGGGTCTTTCATTGTTTCCCTCCTGACGTGGAGGCACATGCTAACAATCTACAGCCCTCCCGCCAAGTGAGCCGTGACCAAGCTTTTCCGAAACTTTGAGGCTGAACTGGGCCTGTTGGACCGCAAACCTGTGTTTATGAATGCAAGTCACTGGGTCCCAGGGAGTCTTTGGCATGGGCGGAAATTGGCCAGGTTCATCGTCAGTTCCCTGACGGGCGGAGAATCAAGAGGCAGCAAATCGAGGCTCGCCTCGGCAAACAGGGGACCGAGCTTGTCGTGCTGCAATGTGGCTGGAGGTGTGTCAAACGGGGACCATGTGCTCAGCTTCAAGTTTGTTATTTGGGTGCTTATGTTTGACCAAGCTTTTCAAGTGGCATTGGTTTCAACATCGGTACCCTCAAAAAGAGACAAACCCGCCTGGCAGTCTTAAAATGCCTGGTTTGCTCGTTGGGCTGACCCTCAGCCATTGTGATGACCCTCAATAAAGGAAGATGGAGCGGCTGCAAAGTGAGGACTCATGTCAATCCTCCACCCCCCAATTCATCGTTGGGTTTCCCTGTAAAGGAATCCCCCAAGAATTGGGGAGTTATTGGAGTCACCGTGGTGGGCAAGTTGCAGCTCCGTGGGTTTTTGCATTTGGGCATGCCTTTTCGGAATTTCGGCGCCCTTTTCTGGGTTCCGGTTTTTGAAAAGGGAAGCGAAATGGCCACCGGAACTTCCCAAAAACGGGTCCGAGAGGTGGACCCCTGGACTGCTGGAGCGATCGCTCTACAATGGCGAGCACCACGACAAGGGCTCCAGCGACATCTTGAACATTCAGGAGTGGCTCCGGAGAACTCCCAGTGGGTGCGTTCTTGACTGTGAGGGGCTCTGGCGTAGGTTTCTGGCTTGAGTTTAGACCCGAAAGGCACAGAGGTGGCTGTGAGGGTTCCAAGATGTTGCAATTTCCAACATGCTGTAATTGAAACAAGTGAGAGCCGCCTGGAGCCTTTGTCAACACTTCACTAAAACATGCACATAAAAATACTTTCGTGGTCACTTTGATGGCACTTTCGAGAGACCTGTTTTTAGGTGACACCTGATTTTTCAGGGTCTTTACCCAGCCAGGAGCTTTTCCATGGAGCCGAGACCACGAGAGATCTCACAGTGCAGCAGCACTTCGTTTGCCGTTTCCACCTCTCGACCTTGGCGAGGACTTGCCGTCAGCTGCTCCGTTCAGTTGCCCTGGATGGCCTGAATTCTCTTCGGTTTTGTTCAGTGGCCTATCTTTTCGAGTGCGAGCAGCGCATGTTGGCTATCCGTCAACCTGTGCCAATCCGAGCGAGGCCTCGGCTGGCATGAAGCTCGGTCGATCGGAGGGTCTCGGACTGACATCCTTTTGTCCACTTCCATTGGAGACAAGGTACCTCCAGGGTTCACTTGTCAGGAGGATCGAGCTGGTACGCCTGCTGTGCGTGGTGTGCTCCTTGGGCAACCGGAGTTGGTTGAGCCAACCGGAGTTGGAGGCCACGTGTAAAGGGGTGGTCCTTTATTGAACCATGGTTTTATCTTGCACGGTCAGTGCGCAGGGTGAGAGGGCAAGGGCCAGAGGGCACGTGTCATCTTTGAGGAAGACATCACGGGGGGATTCCTCAACAGGAGACACGGCCACACCTGCTGCAGGGAAATCCTGTCGCAAAAAGATCATGGCCCATGAGGATGTGCGTTGGACGTTCTTAGATAGGGAGGTTGGATATGTTGGAGGCGCCCGCCCCAGTCGGTTTTGATGCACATAGTCATGTGAGGACACACGAGCATTGCGGCTACCGAGAATTGGGCCCACTTGGCCGACTCAAGTCTGCCAGGAATGATCTAAGGCACCTGCATCACTGCACCTCTTAGCTTCATTCTCTCTGGGGACTGGAACTCCCCGGAGTTGGTGCCTGGAGGACGACTTCTCCTGGGCTTCGATTGCGACCCGGCCAATCAAGGGTCTCTGTTGCGCGCAAGCGCGTCAGTGGATTTCCGCATGCACCCCCAGCAAGCGCTGCGGAAGGGGCTCTACGGCAAGGGCTTCTTGTTCAGGGGGCTCGTAGATCCTTTTACTTTTTTGTTTGTTTGTTTTTGTTTCGTTTGACATCATTCTAATTCAAAAAGACTTGAGCACCCTTGAGAGCGACGAATTTGACATGTTTCAGTTCATACATGCTTCACGTATGTCTTCCCACAACAAAACCTGTTCATTCCAAGATTGTACCGGACGAGGCTTCGGTTTGCTTGTAACTCGAACCAATACGTGCGGAGGATCCTGCCTTTCCAATTTACAAGCATTTGTGACAATGGACAGGGGCTCTTTGAGCCATGAGCCGAGGTGCCATGGACGTTATCTTCGCGATTTGCCTGGCGCTGCGCTTCAGAATCTCCTTCTTGCACCCCATCACCAAGAAGGCCTTCGGCCTTGGCCGATCGGATCGGAGCTTTGGGCCTTCGAAGTGAAGTTCTAAAGACGGGCACATTGCGGTGGCTCGGGAAAAGAGTCACGCGATCGACGGGCCTCGAGAACGGCATGCCAAGGGGAAAGATGGACATCCAACCCCTTCCAACCTTCCCCTCACTTTTGGTTGGATCGAGCCAAGCCTGTACTGTGCGAGTGCCTCAGGAGGTGACGGATGTGTTGAAGATCAGGCACTACTACACCAATAGTGTTGTCTGGTGGCTGCAGCTCATCAGCGCTTTCTCCTACTGCTGGCTAGGACCGACATTTTGGAAAGTGCCACTTACAGTCACAGGCGCACTGGTAACGGGCTAGCCCTGCTCGCACTGTTACGGGCGTGTCTCAAAATGGCTTCTCCTTTGATTCTGTATTTCAATGTCACATCCGCCTGATTCCCCAGAAACTGTTTACTTCAGCACCTGTGGCTGCTTTGGGTTGACGAAGGAGCTGGGCGAACATTGGCTATGTTCCTTGATAGAACATCTTCATTCAGACAACCCCCTGTAAATCAATAAATGTCCGCTAAAAGGCCCCCAGTTGAGATGCGTACTTCCACAACCCTTGTTTCTCGGCAAGCCAGCGCCAAATTTGAGGGGCACCGGCCTGTCTCGATGCAGGATTTGGCGCCACACTGCTTCTGAACAATCTGAAGCTCGTTCGTGTAGGCGGAGCGGTGCGAGTGTGGCACACCGAGCAACGCAACCAACGCAATCTGGCCAGAGAGGAGTCACCATTCACAGACATCACAGGTTCTTCTTTTTTGGAGACCCTTTACAAGCACAGCTGAAGGACTCCGACCATCTTTGTGGGAACTGCATATTGACAAAACCGCGCAGGCCCCTTGCTGAGAGCCCCCGATGCACTCTGGAGGCCGAGTCGGGAGCCGGGAGCCGGGCAGGGCGCGCTGTTTTTTTAATTTCGGAGCGGTCAGCTGTGGGCGACTGCTTGAAAGAGTCACCAGGTGGTCCACCCAGGTGGTTGAACCTGAGCATGAAGCATTGTGGCCCATAGGACCTTGGCAGTGGGTCTGTCAGGGGTCACTGGATTACCCCTTCCGATGTAGTGTGAAACTTGTACTCGCGGAGTTCTAACGAAAAAAGGAGACTCAGGGGCCTGTGCCTTTCCGCCGTAGCTGTGTCCCGGCTGCTAGGATGGAGGACAAGCCTGTGGTGCGGCTGGGGCGGCCGGTGGTCTTGCTGGTTCTGGGTGCCCACTGGACCGCCTGCCTGCTCTTCACCCTGGGGGGCTTCAGACCCTTGCCAGGAAAAGTGGCAGAGCTGAGCGGGTTTGCAAGATAGGGCGGCTTTCCAGTTGGTTTCTCGTTTTTCGGCAAACTCAACACAGGGTATCTTCAAAACAATGCGTGCCCAAGTTGGGTCGAACACAAGAAACTCGTCATTTCGTTGTTTAATGGCCCGTCCCTTGACTTGTATTGCACTGTAAACCGATGCCGAGGAAAAAACAATACCCGTAGAAGCCATACTCAGTTGCGAGTTTGGAGCCAGAGCTGCCAAAGCGTACTCCGCATACTACACTTGTACTGAAGAGTTGTGACTCTCCAGCCAGAGCTGCCAAAGTGTACTTTTCACTAACTGCACTGACAAGTTGTGACTTTTTAGAGCTGCCAAAGCGCTGCAAAACGGAACAGACGAACACAATAATAAAAGATACCAGGGTACAAGGTAACTAAAGTAACAAAGTGGTAGTCCTCGTTATTTACTTGTCTGGTGCCAAGCATATCGGATGGAGGCCCGCGTTGTGTTTTGCAGTGAAGCCTGCTGGTGGAACTCCTTGAGGCAGAGTTCCCAAGTCTGGCTTCAGGATTCATGTCAACGGGTCAAGAGCACCTCGTTTCTGGTAGCCCTTCGTTGGTGGTTTGGGTTTGAACCCCTGATTCTGGTAGAGGTTGCAGAGGCCAAAGAGGGAAGGTTCCTCCAATATCCAAACCGCGAAACCAAACTACCGATCAGAGGGACGTTGACTTTTGTCGGAGGCAGCAGGATCGCTTGTGATGGCATCACCGTCAAATGATTGAGTTTCTGCTGCGGCTCAACATTTGACAGTTGGACATACATCGATCGTCCACCAAAGGGTCACTCGAATCCCATACTCTTGTGGCGCACTGCGGATGCTGGCCACTCGGGATAGACGGAGCCGCTCAGCCAAGGAGAGGAGCTGATCGAGCGGGCACATGACTATGCGACCACCTTCAGTTTAGGCTACGGCATCTCAGGCGGGTTTTCGCTCCGCGCCATGAGCATCTCTTTCTGCTGGCTCTCACATGCGGACATCATGCGCCAGACGACGAGAGCAGGGTTGGGCTAAAGGTCTTGCCACTGAATCATGGCGCACGCACAAGAGATTCCAGTGCATTGAGCTCAACAAGATCCATTGCCGCAATTTTGGTCGAGATCGCTCACAGGTGAAGTGTCTGGAGGCGTGTCTCTGTACTTCATGGCCTTCGTCGAAGCGTTGCGCGGAGCTCGGTTCATTGCAGAGCGCTCGGTTGGGATTGGGCTGACGGCTCAGGTACATGCTCACTGGCGCTTTGGACAACCCCTTGGGCGATGGAGGACCACGCGACAAGGAGTGGGTTTGCTGAGTTGGTAGTTTCTCGATCTTCCTTTCATGCCTAGATGAGCAATGGTGAATATTCACTGTGGTCGAATTACTGTAGTCAAGGAGATCACATTTGGCACACTTCCCCAAAACTAACATTAGAAAATAAGGGGTACTCAGCAAAATCCAATACAAAACATTGGCAGTGGCTCACAAGGCTTTTGTCGGCCCAGGTCACTAAACAGTTGCCCAGGACTTTGGGTCTTTGCTGATGGTGTCAATCTTCGGACCGGTGGGGTGTGTCCCGGCAGAACTGGCAGAGGTATGCTTTCCTGCATCTGAAGATGCTCATTTAGGTGGTTGGATTATCACCGCATGCTTTGTGACTATGGACAAATGCCGCGAATGTGGCTTATTTCCGGGCCTGAGGTTGCCCATCGCTTGTCATGAGGCATGCAGGAGCTGAGAAGCAGAGAACGCATCCCAGGTCTTGAAGTGAAAACAGAGCAAGTTGCCAGCAGAGGTGTAGTTGTGGCGCTCTTCATCTCCGCTATCATGCGTGAGCAGCAGAGAGCACTGGCTTTGGATAGCAAGCACGAGGAGAACAAGGCAGGGGGTTGCCTGATTCCTTTTTTTGGGGGTACACTTTGGTGGGCAACCAACAAGAGGGCCCGCTGAAATGGTTGGTTCCTTTTGGTCTCCAAGGACATCCCTGTGGCACAGGCAAGCCCACCAAGACGCATCGCCCGGCAAATGCGCAACCATACTTTTCATTTGGTTGCCTCAAAGACCTTGGCTGATCTCCACAAATGCTCTTTGCGGAGAAGAGCTGACAAACGGCAACGCTATGGGGCAGGCTGTCAGACTTGTTTAGTTACCGGAGGTTTCTCGCCAGATTCCAGCATCGGGGGGAACACAAATCAAATATGATTTCTTGTGTCAGATGGGCAGGTTCTAATAGTGACCCCGGATGAATAAGCTTGGTGGACGAATGCGGGGTGGGACACCCCCCCCATCAAATCCAATCAGCGCTTGATCCTGGGTAAGCATGAGCAAAGCTCTCAAAGGCCACAAATTAGCTTCTTTGCCGAGTCCATAGACAAGAATGGCCAGCATCTTCAAGCTGGCACCGTCGGCTCAAAGTGATGAGACATGACATGTGTCTTAGCATAGCACATGATGATTTTGACACATGAACACCTGGCAACAGCCAGTCTTCCCGTGACACAACCCCAAACTTGGCGGTGTTTGCCTGGAAACCGTACACTGCCAATGATTTTGCTCTCGGCAGCTGGTGCCCAGGCGTTCATGGAGCGCGCTTTGCAGATTCTGGAGATACCACCCGAGCTGCAGCAAAGGGTGCATCTTGGCTTTTTGTATTGTTTTTTCGGCGGCCTTGGTCCCCATTTCCGTGCGTGAGGATATTTGGCCCGAGCAAAGTCCGCCACGCCAGATGTGACATGCACGGCATGTGAACAGTGGCGACGTTTCTTTGCTCGGTAGCTGGTTTGCCGAGGCTTAGCATGCACCTTTTCCAGAAGTTCGAGCATGATGTTGAGGCCAGCAGCCTGACTGGCGGTTGGGCGCAAACTCGACGACCCAAATCACTGACCCTTCTCTGCGCTTTCCAAGTCTGCGCTTTGTTTTGACCAAGCCTTGAACCTGTTCAGAAAACCGGTTGATAATTACCATCACCCTTTATCCCCCGAGAACAAGAGAGGCGCTGAACTCTCTCTTCGAGAAGAAGAACCTCAGCAAGGCCCTGGAGAACACGTTGCTGGTCTACCTCTATCGAGAGACGGTGGTTTGCTCCCCGTACTTCAGGACCAGAAGTGACGAAGGGGTTGAAGAGCCGAGCCAACGGATTTCCTGAAATGATCAACGGTCAATATTCACTTGCAGATTTTGAAGGGGATGGGGCATTCTCACCAGATTCTCATTATGGTGGGATGGGAGAGACAACGAATATGGCTGGCTCACGTGTTGGGACGGGACGGGCGGGTGGCTTATCTGGCAGTTCTCCCTTGGTGGTGGTACTCATCCTTTTTGTTTCCTTCGGTTGCTGACTATTTTGTTGCCGACTGCGTAGCAATCCAGCTGCCCCTCTTTTTCTCTGAAGCTTGTTCATGTGCTTAGCAACGGCCTCCAGGAACAAGGACCCGAACTACATCATCGCGGTGGTCAACGTGCTTGAGGACTCCAGCCACCTGGAACGGGGATCAAACATGGACTCATTTCGTGAGAAACACCCTGTACAACCTGTGGTACGTGTGAAAACTCGGAGTTCAGTTTGGGATGTTTGAAGGGACACTTTGTCAGTACAGGGAGCCTCGTCCAGAGATCCGAGATCCTCAGGACCAGGTCTTCTTGCCGGGGGACTACGTTGCGCGAAAAGGAGAAGTTGCTACTTCGCCGCTTGGATGACATGGTTGGGCCCCAAAAGGGTCTGTGTTTGCGCCCGATTAGTCTGACCATGGAGTCTGATGAGGGGAGTCTGCGATGCTCAAATGATCTAGCCGATGTGCAGCCCTTTTCGATCGCGGTCAGCTTTCGGACCCTTTGAAAGGTGCTTCAGAGAAGTGAGCGGCTGAGGATGTACTTTGTGAGTCGAGGGGACCTCACCATCCTCATCCCAGACCATGAGGAGATGCTTCGGGGTTTTCAAAGCAAGGCTCCAAGTGCTTCCTCGGGCTGACAGGATGAGAACAACGTGTTGAAGGCCAAAGAGATCAAGAAGATGGGCGTCGGCGAGCAGTTTGGCCCGCCCCCTCAGAGGGGACGCTCCCCGAAACAGGGCCGGTCCAATTCCCTTCTTTGTCTTCTCAGAGCTTAGTTCGTCCTCGAAGCCTTTTTTGCGAAAGGTCGGCCTTCTGCTAATTGAAGACCCATGAACAGATCCCTCCGAACTTATCCATAATTAAATGTGTGGTTGTCAGAATTAGAGCCCCTTCTTGGACCCTGATTTCACCTTGTCCCGCGTTTTAAAGGGGATCCCAACAAGTGCCCCAAAATTTGACAACTTCTCCATGTCACCTCCCCCAACCCCTTGCGGCCCGCGGCTGACTGTGTGTCGATAGAGCGAGATGGCGCGAGGTGAAATCGCCCTGGTGAAGGACACCGTGCGCACCGCCTGGGTCCGTGGCCTTCTCAGGGGGGCAGTGAATGGGAAAACGGATTGACCTGAGGTGTCTTGACGGCTATTGGGTTGGATCTTTAGACTTGAACTTTTTTCGGGAAATGAAGGGGTTTTCCACTGAGCCCACAAAAAGTTGAACTTTTTGCAGAGGGGTCAACAGCAACAAAGGTGTGAAGCGGAGCTTTTTGCACGCATCATTTTTGGTTTGTTTGCGGGAGAGGGTGAAGGAAGGGAACGTTGGTTGTGGGCCCGAGCAACCATGACATGACCCGCTGAGTTTGACTTACGTTGGGTGCTGAGCGATTGCGACCAGATGTGTGACTGGTTTGGTCTAGTGGTAGCGGTGTCCTTTTACATTTTGCAACGCTGCAGGCCCCTGATGTGGACCATTGCCATCGTAAAAGGGTCCCCATCAGGGGCCTTAGACCGAATTGTCAACATGTCCGGCAAGAACAGCTTGGGATTCTTCTGGCAGATTTTCATGGGACCACACCGCCCCTTGGGTAATCGCTGCTTGGGGGGCCCCAGAAAGGTGTTGAAGGAGCAGCTCCTTGCCCAGGGGCGAACACCTATGTCATCGTCTCCGCCCTACCCTCCAGCTCCATCAGGCGGGATGTGGAGCTCGGATACCGGCGGGAAGTGGAGCGAATGTGGAGTCAGAACAAATCTTGAGGGTCCTTTCAGAATATGTTATGGCAGCTTTACACGCGATGGTATCTTTTTGCTGCTGGAAAAAGGGAGGGGTGGGGATCCACAGCCAAAATGCCAAGCAGTACCCCGAGCCCTCTGTTTCCTCCCTGTTGACATGAATGGCAATGCAAAAACCACAGCAGGCGCACTCATTTGCCTGGGTTCGAGTCCTCCCAAGTGTGGCCAAGCAGACTCTGGGGACTCGCGTGAGCCCCCACTAGTTGGCTGTGGCTCAACAAGAGGGTACCAAAATGGCACCAAAAGTTTAAATGGAAGCAAACACTGAAACCTGCGGAAACTGCGGTAACCCCAGCTCTTTCGTTCGAGAGCCCCACACTCAGTCTTCCCAAGGTCTCTAGCCAAAGGGGACTCGCTCGCGGGAGTCCCCAGCAAGTTGGTGCCAGGCACGTTTGGGTGTTCTACCCCAAGGAGCGGGAGGAGCTCCTGCGTACGGTGGAGCAGCACGCGGACGCCGGGTGATGTTGAGGTTTGTGGCGTGTAGCGTGGCCGTTCTATGCTCTTGGCCAACTTTTTGACTTTTACCCAAGTGTGCTCCATTTGGGGGAATGAACCACTGGGTTTCAGTCTGCGTCAAAAAGTGGAACACTGCTCATAGCATGTATTTGTTTCATCTCTCAGCCTTGGACGGTTAATAGTGTAATGCTGCTGCTCTATTTTTGGTTCAGATGGCATCCACAGAAAGCTTTGCGGATAACACACGCAGCATGGCTTCCACTTGATTCACAGATTCAAAAATCGACCTTTGTGAAGCCATCCGCCCGTGAATTCACTCTTTGGGCCACTGAGGAACGAGACAGGAAGCGCAAGGTCAAGCAAAGGTGGGAGAAAGGATTGGGCGCTGCCACTGTAACTCCTTGGAAGATCAAGGGCGGGTGACTTGGAGCAAAGAAGGTGCCGTTTCGTTTTGGGAGTAGAACCACACGATGCGCAGCGGAGTGAGTATCTCTGAAGTCAATGATGGTCTTTGCCAAACATGTTTTCCTTTCAGAAGGAAGGTCATTACGACTCCATTCCGGCATGCCTAACGCGGAGGGACGAACAGTTGAACAATCAACTCCAACCCGTGCTACCATTGCTTGAGCGCAAGTCGGAAAAAAAAGAACAGCATGGCTGCAGGAAGTTTGCAGTTACAGTTCGGTCCGAAATGCCGTGCTGGGTGCCTCCGGTCTTGATCCCTAAATCTCGCAAGTGTGTGGAAGAATAGTTGTACAGTGTTCCGTATTCTACCGTTTTGTTTGTGTTGCTATGGCTCAAAGTGCACCATCACCATCATGATCTACTCGTAGTTGCATCCGCTGATGTTCCTTGCTGCAGATGCCCCGGGTGCCTTTCTGAGGCCAGGATCCACGGCATCATTTGCATCAGGCACTCCCCCTTCGCCAACGGCACAGGACGTGCCAATTAGCTGGTTAGAGACTAGATGCCACCAATAGGCACATCCTACTCGCCAAAAACTGCGTGGATGTCTCGCACAGCGTTGGCTTGGCAAGAGCCGAACTTTTGTTTGGGTCTAACCATATGCGGACAGAGAGAGAGAGAGAGAGAGAGAGAGAGAGAGAGAGAAAGAGAGAGAGAGAGAGAGAGAGAGAGAGAAAGAGAGAGAGAGAGAGAGAGGGAGATAGAGAGAGCGAGAAAACAAGAGAGAGACAGAGAGAGAGAGAGAGAGAGAGAGAGTGAGCGACGAAGAGAGGGAGAGAGGGAGAGAGAGAGGGATCTCAGGCTCGGCTGTGCTGTCCAGTCGAGAGCCAGGACAGCAGGCTGAAATCTGGGAAGACCGTCAAGTTCTCTGGATTGGATCAGCGGGAAGAGACAGAGTCGCGCAGCGAGAGCGAGCCTCTGGCGATCAGATGTCAGATGTTTGTGTGGACGTTTGAAAAGGAGGGACACCTTGTTGCGGGTGAAAACCTGTCTGGGTTTCCTTTCAGAAGTCTCCCAAACGAGGCTTGCCGTTTCTTGAGACACACCCAAACTATTTTGAGCCTTTGATGGGATCGGCAAGGCACGTCCAGCTATTTCGCTCATGACCTGCGCCAAATTCCACAAACTGGTTGAGGCCTGTGCCGGTATGCGTCCTGTTTCAGGCAGGATGTTGGCCTGGTGTCGACAACAAATCCATTGCTCCAAGTTCTAGTTCATCATAGTTTGCTGGGCGCTCCCCCATGCAAGCATTGACCCTTTGTTAGACAATCATGGACATGGACATGAAGGCTTCGGAACGACTTGTTGCATATTCAAAATGCCTCCTGTCCATGTTGGAATGACCTAGTTGCATCCTGCAAATACTTCGTGTCCGCTTTCATGATTGTTGGCAAAAGGGAAGGCGAAGGGTTTTGCTTGACAGGTGGGTTATAGATTTTCACCCAGCCTTCCAGCCTCACCACCCGGGAAGAGCACAGCCCAGGAATCTCCAAAGAGTGCGCAGTCTCGGGCAGAGCCAGAATCTCCAGTTTTCCACTTCGGCGAGGAGGTTGTGACAAGGAGACTTCAGGCATCGGACTCGGGGGGCACGTGAGACATCCTGACTCAGCATGTTCAGTTGTGCGAGCAATATGATGGCAGCCGGTTTTGTCCAAGTCCAGTTGAGAGCTAAAGGCCGGGCCAGCCACTCGAAATTTTGCCGCCAGGCAATGGAGAATCGTATGGACGAAGTGCTTCGGCGTCAAAGCTCGCTGGAGCGTAACGTGATGGAGTCCCTCATGAAGATCCAGAAGAATTTGGAGAAGCGCGCAGGCGGCGAGCAGTTTTTCGGTGTCCAGGGCAAGGTAGTGAAGCTGCCCTCACGCCACGTTCCGTGTCTTGTGGCCCCTTCGTCGCACCCAGATCTCCCCTCGATCGAGTCACGCAGGCTTGGAGGAGAAGGACGGCACCGGCCAGTGTTCGATTCGGCAACACCCTCCCAAATGCCTGGTGGATACATGCATCCCCAAGTAAATGATGTCCACCAAGGGTCCAGTTTACACTCTATGTCACTACGTCACAGGATGGCTTCCAAGGGAGCATGTCGTTGTGCGTCAGAACCAGGGGCACTTTTGGCAAGGCTGCCACTTGAAGGGGGCCCTAGTTTCAACATGTGGACTTTGCCGGTTCGCAGGAGAGGCAGCGCCACTGGCAACTTCCAGAGGAGAGATGGATCGATTGGGAGAGAGATCGGTGAACTTGCGATATTTAGGGAATCAACTGTAGTGGGAGGTAATGTTTTCCTGTCAGCTTGCATGATTGCTTGGATTGTATTGTTTTGCATGAAATCCGTTGATTCGGCAGATGTCTACAACATGGGATCGCTAAACAGCCCGCGGAATTTTGAGGGAAGGCTTGGAGGGCAAGAGACTTCAAATTTGCTTTGTCTCGGATGCTCCTCATCGCTAGTCTCTGGCTGCATGGGGACTTGCGCAGTCAAGTAATATATTCAACTCTAATTGACAGTCCTCTGGCAGTTCAGGTTGAAGCAACCAAGTGAAGAAGTGATTGGGAGCGTTCAATTGCGATTGTGCCAAATGCCAGCCAACAATGCACAACAAACGCTGGTGTTGGATCCATTTGAGCCAGGAGAAGTGGATTCAAAAGAAGGTGCCAGAGGCGGGCGATGTCCGCGCGGGTGTGCGCATGCGTGAGTGAGTCCACGAGTGTGCGAGTTGATGAGTCTCTGCGTCCATGCATGAGCGTGCCCGCACGCGTGTGTGTGTGTGTGTGTGTGTGTGTGTGTGTGTGTGTGTGTGTGTGTGTGTGTGTGTGTGTGTGTATTTGTGTGTGTGTGTGGCTGTGTGTGTGCGCAGTTGTGTGAATTTGTGTTTGTCTGTCTGCCTGTCTGTCCGTCTGTTTTCTTTCTTTCTTCATTCCTTCCTGCCTTTCTTTCATTCATTCATTCTTTCTTTCTTTATTCTTTCTTTCTCTCTTTCTTTCTTTGTTCTTTTATTTCTTTCTTTCTGTCTTTCTTTCTTTCTTTATTTCTTTCTTTCTTCTTTCTTTCTTTCTTTCTTTCTTTCTGTCTTTCTGTCTTTCTTTCTTTCTTTCTTTCTGTCTTTCTGTCTTTCTTTCTTTCTTTCTTTCTTTCTTTCTTTCTTTCTTTCTTTCTTTCTTTCTTTCTTTCTTTCTTTCTGTGTGTTTTTGTTACTGCTTTTTTGTTTGTTTGTTGTTTGTTTGTTTGTTTGTTTGTTTGTTTGTTTGTTTGTTTGTTTGTGTGTGTGTGTGTGTGTTTGTTTGTGTGTTTGTTTGTTTGTTTGTTTGTTTGTTTGTTTGTTTGTTTGTTTGTTTGTTTGTGTGTGTGTGTCTGCCTGACTGCTTCGTAAGAATGGAGCATGTGACCGATTGTCGAGTCTAGCGTCTACGAATGAACCAGCAACCTTCAAGGCTTCAGTGTTGACATAGCCTCTTAAGTCCTCAGGAATATCTTGGGCGCATCAGCGCATGCTGGGAAATCCATACATACTCAAATACACACGTGTAACAGCATATACACATTACTTGTACATGCTACTCTCATCTAGATGTGTATGCATATAGATGCTAGCCAGGACCTGCCTCAGACCTTTTGTCCGCTCCAGTTTATGGAATTTATCTAGGATTGGAACCAATCTCTCAATGGGACTGGGACTAGGACCAAACTAGGACTAGAACCACGAATTTCTCAACTGGGACTAGGACCAAACTAGGGCCCTCAGCTAGGAGGACGAAACCCCCGAGTGAACCTCCCCTCAATGCCGAAGGGACACGAACATTTCGCCCGGGGCCCGGATCAAGTTTCGTACCCTCCGTTCCGCGAATGAAACCGCCTGGAAGCGAAGGGGCGTTGCATTCGCCCTCATTCAATATGGAGTCAAGATTCCCTGGTGAGGCTTTCCTGGAATCTCGAATCCTAGTTAGTGTGGGTTTCACATCATCCTTCAATTCTTATTCAAGATAGACATTCTAATACAACTATTTCTTAAATACAAGTATGTTTAAGTTCTGATTGAACTTCATTTGGAATCCAATTTGATATAAAAAGCCGCTTTACAAGGCGCTTTAACAGGAGCTACACAAGGAGCCCCATACTCAGCTTCTCAAGGAGTACAAGGGGCTTCTTATCTTTTCAACCATCTTTACAAGGAATTGTACAAGGAGCCCTTTTACGGAGCCTTATAGTTATCAGGAGCCTCAAAAAGAGCCTTATAAGGAGTTGTGTAAGGAACTTTAAACGAAGCTTTGTAACGAGCTTTGTGAAGAGCTGCGTGTGAAGTTTCGCAAGCAGCTTAGCAAGTGAGCTTCAAAAGGCGCTTTACAAGCAGCTTATCAAGTTTACAAGCAGCTTACAAGGAATTGTGAGCCTTATATGGTGCCTTTTCATACAGGAGCATTTTCACTGAGGAGCCTCAAAAGACCTGTGCAAGAAGCTTCAGAAGGAGTCTTACGAGCAGCTTTACAAGGAGCCTTATGAGGAGCTTTATAAGAAGCCTTACAAGGAGCTTTACAATGAGCCAGATAAGGAGTGTTTGTATGGAGCTTTATCATCAGCCTTTGAAGGAGCTTTATAACAGCTTGGGCCAAGACTTGAACGCCAGGTGTTGAATTCTAATTGTAAACGCCGCGTTGCCCGCCTCGGCCCAGCCTAGTTTGAGGGAAGGGTCAGGAACACCAAAATCCAGTGTTGGGAAGGCCCGAATCCTACTGAAAGCTTGTGACCGCACCAGTTCGCCGGGGATATCACCTGAGCATATTTTTTGGCAAATAAGCAAGCAAACTCGCTTGTTTTGGCTCTTGGGATTTTTTAAAGGAGAACCTTGACGAAACCAAGAACACAACTCAGAGGTTTTGGTTTTGCAGAGTTTCGGTGTTTTTGTTTTGTTTGGCATTGTCCCTCTAAATTCCCTTCTGGTACCCGCAGAAAACTAGGAAAAACACGATGTTGGTTGGAACAAATGATGAACAACCAGAAAACACACGGTCTTTTGTTTTCTGGGAATTTCAGAAGGAAAACAAACAAACATACTCGAGTTTTTTGGTTTGTAGGCCAAAACCGAAAAATGGAAAACACACACACAAATACGCTCAGGTGATATCCCCAACAGCAGACGGCGCTCCTTTGGACCCTCCCGGAACCGTGCTGACCCTCACCATGGGGCCCCCGGAGCCCTTGCAGAGCTTCTGCAGAACCTGCCCCGCCCGTGCTTATCTCGGCTGAGACCCAAGGCTTTCAGCTGTTGGGGAAAAACATCCTCGAGAAATCAATCCACTTCACTTGTGACAAAGCTTTTTGCTTTCTCAAGGTTTTCCAGCAAAAGTTCAAAAAAAACAAAAACCACATTGAGTGTTTTGTTGTTTTTGTTTCACACAACTACAGCACAAACTGCGGGAAAACCGAACAAGCAAACAAACCCCGAGCAAACCAACAAGAACAATACTTTTAAGCCAACACAAGAACAACCATGACGCGTCTTTGAAATCTCACGTGTCTGACACACATCTTACGCGAGCCACCGCACCTCGAGCTTCAGCTGGACTGCTCGCGAAGCCGTCGCTTCAAATGGGTATGGGTCAAAAGTAAACCTCCAGGCAACCGCAGGTTTTAGTCCATGTCTCCATTTACCAGGGTTCCATTTTGGGTACCAATTTTTCACCCACAGCTAAATGTGATCGGCGGGACTTCATCTCCTCCACATCCATTGCTGCAGCTACAGCTAAGACACAGACGCGACCGCAGTCACTAGCTGATGCACTTTTTCGTATGCTGACGCGGTGACGCACTGCTGCGCGCACCTTTGATCAGACGAAACCCTTTTGTTTGAGGCAAGCCGCTGCACCAACAACAATGTTTTGCTCGGCCAGCAAATCTGCAAGAAAGCAATCCCACAACCTTTTCCACAGAGGGTTAGCTGCGAATCGCGGCTGAATGGCTTCGGTTTTGGGGCTGAATTGTGACCCCCATCCGGCGATGTCTGGGATGTTCACATACTGAAGCACCGCAAATGTGGCTCATCCAAAGGAGGTGCACTGGTACCCTGATAGTCGGAAAGCCTGATCGATTAATGTGTGCATGAGGCGTCATTTTTTTTTTTTTTTTTTTTTTTTAAAGAGGATATACATGTATAATGGTTGGGCCTGTTTCAGGCCAACCATCAAACGAAATGTGAAAGCAAAACACATCAAAACAGCTTCTTTTTTGGCATCTTTCAAGGAGACAGTGGGAGGGTAGATCATGGACGGGGGGGGGGGGGGGCGACCATATATGTATATATATATATATACACATATTATATATATATATATATATATATATACACAGATATATGTCTTGTTCAACACCTAATCCCCAATGATTGGCAGATTGTGGATTGTGCGGTTTACGAATTAGACTATGCGGCTTGCGGATTGCGGATTATGGTTTGCACGGATTGTCCATGCCCCAACAGAAAGTTTTGACCCACAGTTGGCAGCGCGAATTACGGATCAAGAGGATTACAATCCAAAACAAGGATTAAGCGGATTGCGGATTGCGATTAGGCCCCCAGGATTCGATATACATGTATATATATACACATAAATACACACTTCATCACTCACTAGGCCTTGTGGCAAGGTTGGTGAAAGACATCATCTCAGCAATTCAGGTTTTCGCAACTCGGAGCTTTGAGAGCGCCTTCAAAGCACCGAGAGAACGTTCCACGGATTCCAACCTCAACGGCCACTCCCACGGCCCCCATCTGCACGCAGGAGGGCCGGCGCCGGGCCCGAAGGGCGCGCAAGAGCACGGAGGGTCGGCCCTGTGTGGATCTCACTGGCCTGGACCCGGTGTCTTGGAGCTGGCAGAAGCCAACAGGGGGGCTGGGCTGTGTCCTTTGGAAACCAAAAAGGGTTGAAAGAGCGGTTTAAAGATGTTAGGGGTTGGCCCAACCCTAAGACTTTCGATGTCCCTGCTGGATTCTGCTGGTTCTCAGCCTCTTTCATTTGTCTCATTCCATTTGTTCTCTGCAAAAGAGGGGGGGGGGTTCTGGTTGTTTCGCTTTTGGCCAAACGGTGAGTTTGGCCCTGAGCTGCACTTGGTCAATGAGCGGAGGCTCAACTAAATGGTGACAGCAAAACAACATGACAGCGATGTTGGAACATCTGAGCCCAGTGGGGCAAAATTGTGACTCATTTGGCTAGCAACCACCCGAGCAGAAACTCTCCATCGTGCAGGACATGTTTTATCATGCTGTTGTTTTCAACTCTTCATCCCCTTTCAATTTCTTTATTTTGTTTGTTTGTCTGAAGTATGGGTACTCGTTTCTGACGTGAATTCAATCAACATTTGTATCAAGCCAAGTTCTTGATTGTTCCCAGGATCGCCACAGCTTGTATGTAGGGAATGCTGGCTTCCCCTGTACGCACGATGTGTCGTAATATGCATATATGACCAAGATGAGTCCCGGGTGCTCAGGGCTTGATAAGGCATGCGGTTACCCAGTGGATAAACACAGGACTGCGTTGATTACTTGATTGGCTTCTCCCCGAGCCCAGCTCAGGTTGGGCTCACGATTGGGAGTGGTTTGGACGGATGAACAGTTGTTTGAACTGACCCGACTCTTGACACAGATGCCAAACTCAAACCCTGTGCTGAATAAGAAAGGCTTTGCCCTGAGTCAGCTGGCAGCCTGTACACAGGAAGAAGCTATGTGTTTGGGGCCATTCCGCTGCTCCCACATCCCACATGAGCCGTGGTACCACGTAACCTTGGCCTAATGGGATAGTCATCAGTTATCAACCCCGTCGTGCCCTTCAGTCTGCATGCCTTGCGTATCTCTTGCGGGCCACGCTTACACACAGGGTTCAACACGATCCTTGCTTGTGCTGCGTCTGCCTGCCAGAGGTTGGCAGGATCGCAGTTCGCACAGACTCAATCCAGGTCTGTTCATTGAACAACCAGCGGTCAGATTCTTGATCACTCAGTTTTGCCATGCCTCAAGACTCAAGACAATTTTGCAACGGGATGCCTTTCCGCTTGGCAGTTGGGGAGACGGTCTTGAGGCGCATACATTAGTTTCCCGTGGCAGTGACGAGGCCGCTGCTTCTGACACTGCAATGCCGCCGCAGGCAGCGCCAAAAAGCATCTTGCCTTCACGCTTGAGTTTCTTTTTGGGTCAGCTTTCCCTGCCATTTTTTGTGGGTGTTGTATTGGAAGAACGTTTTGGTCTGCTTGAGCAGACAGGAATGGAAATCCCCGCCTCTCGCGCCCAGGTTTCGATGCAGCGCCTTGGGCTCAGGCACGGATGTGTCGCAGCTGAGAGGTTGGGTTTCCCCGTCCACTGATCCCGATTCGGAGGGGGCGTCTTTGAAGCGACCGGTGTCAAAAGAGAGGCGACTCAAGGCCCGGGTGGATGAAGATCAGGGGACAGTCCCACGCAGAAAAAGGTGGGGCTGCCTTCTCGACTCGCGACATGATTCGGGGCAGACTCCTTGAAAAAAAAAAAACATTGGATTATGACTCACAAGAAGACATCTTCCATCTTCGAGCCAGCACAACGGTGGTGGGCTCCGTATCTCCGACGGTGTTTTCGGGTGTAAACAAAGCAAGTCTCTTCGCAAAGGCCTTGGGTGGCGGTCCCGTTCTCTGAGAGTTCAAGAGCGCCAGGGCTCGTTGCCCGTGCCGCCGCCTCCGGAGAATGATGAAGAGTCCTTGAGCCTTGGCGCAACACATGACTTGGCAGTGGTTTCACGGCGCCCTTTGGTGCTTGTCAGAGAGAGCCCAAGTTTGGTTGGCCAGATTCTGTTGGTTGGGTCCAGACCATGAACGGCATCCAAAAGGTACCCCTTGGATCATAGGGGCAGACGTTGCACAAAGAATAGGGGTGGACGTTGCACAAAGAACCTGGCGGTCAAGCATTGCAAGGATACTCCACCTACACGACCCTGGCGAACCGTCCCAGTGAACCATGGCTGCTTGATGCCTTATGCTCACCCTTATGGTAGAGCATGGGCGAGCGTAGTTAGTTTTTGGATTCCTGGAGAAAGGCGGTGGCCAACAGATTCAGCGATCCAGACCATTGTGAGACGTGCCCTGCGCAGCGGGTCGTGCGGCCTTTTCCAGGACATCTCTGTTCGCATTAGCCGCTTGCCTCAGCTATCTCCGCTAGAGGAAATGGCCAGAGCAAGCAGGAAGCTCCAGCGCTGAGTGCCTCGGGCTGTTAATGACCCATTTTCGGTCTCCAGGGCTTGCTGATGAAGTCAGGAAGCCGTGGAGTCTGTCGCAAGCGTGGGCGGCTGCCCGTGGCAGACTTCGTTTGCCAAGAGGCAGCTGTGCACTTGTGCACTTGAGCCATGCCGAGCGGCCTCTGAGAGGCTATGGCTGACTCTGAGCGATGGCTCAAAAAGTCTGAGACGAGCGTGTCGAAGTCCATTTGAATGGGGATCCCCAATAGCACCCCTCACTTTCCTTGCATGCACTGCCTCAACTACAGCGCCTTATGTGAGACGTCGCCGAGCAAAAGCGACCAGGACGGCTCTGCTCCTGCGGCTGTCCAGCCCGCAGAGGCTCGAGATAGAAGTTCCACAAGCGGCCGGATGGCGTAGAGGGGGACCAAGAAGCAAACGACCCATCTGCAAGCAACCCACATGAGAACTTGGTGGGCTCCCAGCCATCCGGTTCCTTAGCTTTTTAGATCCTTTTAGTAAATTAGTTGTTGGATTTCCGAATTTAACCCACTAAAAGTTAAACTTTTAGCGGGGGATCTGAGGGCAGATAACATATGGCTTTGGGTTAAAGTCTGGTGGATTCTTTGGGTTGCTCAGACTGCGAATTCAGCAACTTCTCCCGCTCCAGTTTCCCATACCGGTTTCACCATGCTTAGGCAGGCGGAAGCAAGAGATGCATGGCACGATTGGTGCTTAGTTGTCGTTTGGCTCTTTCCGGACAGGGGGCTTTCAGACACCACTGCTCCGGAAAGGACTGGAGAGAGTGACGCAATCCATTTGAGCCCGGAACCTGCCCCTGTCACTCGCCCCTGGTCAGGCAGCCGCGGCGCCTCGGGAAGAGAAGGTCCGGGAAGAGAGGCTCCGGGAAGAGGACGGGAGAGATGGCCCCCGAGAATTGGTGGATTTCCCGTCGGTTTCTTGTGGGTTCCCTTTTGGTTTCCCTTTAACACCACCCAAAACGGACCCCCTGGGTGTCCTTTGTTTGCATGAGCCACTGAGCAAGCTTCCTGTAGTGTGTCCAGCGTTGGGAGGACAGGGCTGATTGTTTCCAGGGTGAAGGAGATGGCAAACGCCAGCGACTCGTTGAAACGTGGCAGTAGTGCGCACTGCAAATAGCGCGCTAGTGAACTTCGATAAGATTTATTCAAATTTGCAAGAAGCCGTGCCAGGAGTTCTCCTTATCTTTGGGCACTCGCGCGGGCGAGCCTCGCAGGTCCGTTTTCATCGGAGGATGTGGGATGTTCACTTGGCGCGCTCTCCCTGCTCCTAGATTGGGCTCCTCAGCTGTTTGCCGTGTGCCTCAACATCTCAATTGCTGAATCTGGTGTGTGCGTATGTGTCTGTGTGTCCCAAGCTCTGCTGGCTTTCATCTACGTATCTCTCAACGCACGAGATGTAGAGCTCGCGGACTGCCGAGTAGGCGCTTTCATCGTCCAAGACTGGGCTAGCTTTCTATGCTTCTCTTGGCGCAGCCTGCCCATGCAAATAGGCCAAACCCCGAGAAGGGGCCTCTCCCTTGAGTTAATTTCAGATTAGTCCGAAAGACCATAGGCCGGAACGGTTCCCTCTTCGGGGAGATTCTTTCTTTGAAGGAGGATTTGCCGTGAATGTTGGTCCTCAAGACCATCCAACGTGCACCACCCTAGCAAGATTCAAGTTCGTCCTCAGAATAAACAACACTCCTCACGGCGCATGCACATGTTCAGGAGAAAGCTCCAACCTCAGCGAGCACAACTCATAGTGCTGCCCGGGCCTCGGGTGGATAGATCTCAATCATGTTCCAGGGTTGAGTTGAACGATGGAGAAGTGGCAGATGCCCTTGTTTTTCCCTCTTTTCTATCTCTTCTCTATCACTCTGTTCCTTTGTTCTACCCAATTTCTGGCACTTGTCCTATACCTGCTTTGATCTTTTTGGTTCGGGTTGTGTGCCCGTTTTGACCCAGGCGTCCGTGTTTACTCATGATCCTTTTTTGGTGCCCGCATGCGCAGGCATTGAAGGCCATTCTGCAGAACGTCGTGGCAGGGCTCTTGGGTTTCGTGTGCGTCGGCCGTCCTTTTATAGACATTCTTGAAATGCAGGGTCCCTTGTTGTCCAGAAAGTGGTAGGGCAAATCCTGCAACGCTCTTGGTGTCCCGTAGCAGGATGTCGGACAGGAGTCGGGTCACTGCATGCCGAGATGTCCTCTGAGTATGGCTCTTTGGTCAGGCGCGCTTCCCCACAGAGTCCATGATCACCAACATGTACTTCTACTTCTTGGTGGCCATGTCTGGTGTCGCCGGGGCCTCAAAGGCCTGAAGAGGCAGATTTCGGGGGTGGGTCGTTTTTGAAGCCGAAAGGGACATCAACGAGAACACCACGCTCTCTTGTGGGTTCCCTTATCTTAAGACACACCACTGGGTCGGTTTGTGGAGGAGTTCAAACCGTGACGTTGGGGGTGATGGAGGTCGACCTCTCGATTGATCCGTCAACCAATGGAAGAAAGACAGCCCTGTGTTTCTTTGAGGTGACCTTCTATGTGGTGGCTTTCCACATGCTCGAGGAGGACGACAGCACACCAAAGTGGGCTGGCGAGGGGTGTGAGTGTGAAAGTTGAGCCTAAGGGGAAGCTGCTAGAGGCCTAGAGGCCATCACTCATTTGGTGGGTTTGGTTTCGGCTCAGGGCTGTTCCTTTGACGATATTTCGTTCAGGAGAAGGAGAAGGAGAGCTGATGGATCCTGACGCAGGCTTGGGAGTTTTCCTTGGCTCCGCCACAGTTTGTTGAGAAATGACTTCCTCGGTCGCGCAACCCTTCGTGTGGCCACTGAGTGATGATACATGGTTCCGTGCAGTCTGGGGTCACTGGGTGCGATCAATGCATGCCGTTGGTCCCTGCTCTGTGATTTTCCTCCAATGAAACCATTGCTTTCAGGTGAGCGATCAATCTATCTTTTCTCTCTCAGCGTTGATGGCCCTGCAAACATCCTGGCAAGGATGTCGTGCTGCCTCGCAGGCCCCGGCACGGTGCGGTCGAGCTCGCCTGAGGGCCACTAAATGCAAATGGTCCCACGACACAGTCGTGCCATAGCTTGATCTATTGATCTCAAAGTCGCGAAATTGTAAAGGCCCGGTTGGATTTGAATCCCCAAGTTCAGATGTTGACTTATTTCAGACGGGTGCAGACCTAATCTTTTGTGAAAGCGCCGGAAGCAGACTGTCCGTTCAGTCGGGCCTTTGCATTTTTCTGGAACAAACGAGTTTCACAGTTCAGAACCCATGGAGGCGTGAGGCCGCAAGGCCACGAAGCAGTGCAACTGAAGCAGCTCCCAATGCCATGTTTAGCTAGCGGGGCTTTGCGACCTCCGCTCCATGTGACGACATGCTCTCTCTCCCGCATTGTAGCAACCTGACCTAGGGACTAGGATACTGGAGATGTGCTCAGGTTCCATCTCTTTCCTTGCGCGGCTCAGAGAGCTTGTACATAACTGAGTCACTCCTGTGGCAACGCACCAGCGTCCGGCGCAGCCGTGCGGACCAAAAAGCTTGACGCGCTTGGGAGCTCAATGGCTTGATGCCTTGCTGCTTTAGAGCCATGCTTGCTTTGCCTGGAGTCAACAACCGGGTCATTTCCGCAAAACTATGGGTAGGTGACCCCTCTTTTTCGAGTGATTCTGGGAAACGTGAACGGGAAGTTAGTGCCAGGCACCCCAACGTTGGGGGTCAAGCAGCCAGCTGATCAGGTTGGCCAATTGTGGTTTCAATCATTTGCCAGACGATTCCATCTTTTTCCGGAAGGACTGCCTAGCTTCGTGGCAAACATCTACTCTCTAGCATACATGTTTAATCCTGCGGAGTGTGGCGGTCGACTTGCGGCATAGTCCCGTGCTTGTGCATATGGCGGCCTTTTGGTTTCAGGGACAGGCTGACCGGACTTGGGAAGCCTGAGGCGGGAAAGTGCAGAGTCGTCGTGGCGGAATCAATCATGTTTTTTTGTTTTTCTGGAAACCTATCAGGGCTTGCTTTGTGCACATTTGCCCTATTCGGGTGTTTGTTTTTTTAGGGTGCTCTTTAAAGGATGGTGTCAAGGGACATCAAAGGAACAACATGACTGTCGGGTGAAGCCCAAGCCTTGGGCTTCACCCGAAAGTGATGCCATGATAGAACGCCTTGCAGGTCAAAAAATGGGCGCATGTGTCGCGAAAAGCGGCGTCGTCGAACATGGCGTGGCACGCTCAGCGCTTGCCCGGTGCTGTCTGCATGCCTTGCATCCGCCTGAGTCCCGCAAAGCGAACATTTTAGGGCTTCTCCAAATTGCCAGTGGTTTCCCTGCAAACCACCCGGTTGTTTTTAGGAAGTCACATGGACCCAGTTTGCCTTCCCCTTTGCCAAACGCGCACACTCCCCAGCGCATTTGTCTCCAAATCAGATATGGATCTCTTGTTTTGTTTGGCTTTGGCTTCCTTTGGCTTTTCCTTACAACCCCAAGAAGGGTGGCTTCTTGGTTTCCCCGCAGAACAACTCCGAAAGGGGTCCGCAGAAGGGTGCCCTCCGCCAAACCAAGAGCCAGTCCTCGCCCGAGGAGAGCATCGACAACGTCAAGGCTCCGCGCCTCGCCTCGCAGCTCGGCGGGGCGGGAGCTGTTTGGTGTAAAAACATGCCGGCGGTACTCTCTTTTCATCGTCTCACAACGGTGTTTTTTTTGAGACCTAAATATTGGCATCCATACTTAGGGCAATCTAGGATGTGCCAGCACGTGCTAGCACATTCTCGCACATTCTGGATTGCCCGAAGTATGGATTGGAAGAATCCAAACAGGCAGACAAAAAGAGCATTTTCCAAGCATCACATTGAGGATGTTTGGCCTGCATTTACCAGTATTCAAGGTGCTCATAGAAAGGGCACTATTGTTGGACTTTGTTTAATAATTCCGCTTGTGTTTTTAGATTGTGTTTTTGAATCAGGATCCTGGGACTTTTTCGGGGTCTGCTATGGAATGCGGTTTACCCATATGTTGTGGGTCGACAAAGGCACGCCTCACACGTTTAACGGCATTTTTCCGTTGTTTGCTTGGCTGCGTTCTTGCATGGTTAAGACCAGATGGAATCAGATAAACAATCACCCTTTGCAATGTCAAGAGGTTTTTTTTTTTATCCACTTGTTATGTGTTCGATGCACAAGGAACAACAACCGGCTGACTTTGAACTCGATACGTCATCCTCAAATGGATGTTATTGACCATGATTAAATCGATTTAGATAAGCAACTCACATTTGAGATAGGAGTTGCTTTGTACATTTTATTTGAATAATACTAAGTTAGAATGGTACATGGACTTGTGCAAATAGAAATGCAACAGAACATGGAAGGGACGCACCTTCTGTTGCAGGCCCGTTGCCGCCAAAGTGTACTTTGTGTACTAGTGCTGACAAGTTGTGTCTTTTGAGCTGGAGCTGCTAAGGTGCATGACTTTCGAGCTGCTTGAGTAGGAACGCCTTTATTGAGCTTAGATTCTGCTTGATTAGAATTTGCATGGAGTAACCTGAGCAGTCCGGGGGGGAGGGGGGGGGGGCGTAGCAAATATATATATATATATATACATATATATATATAAATAAATAAATAATATTTGGGGGGTACCCTAACTTTTGGGTCCGTTGAAAGGGAAAGCAAAGGGGAAACAAGGGTCCCATTCTTGGGGTTCCCCCATTTTGAGCCCATGGCCCTTTCTGCCTCAATGAGCCGGCGTGCGCCAATTTTGCTGCGAACACCCCCAACAATTCTTTGTGGAAGTGGACATGAGCCCCCCGTGTATTCTGGTGGAAGGAAAACGATGCCCGTGTATACTTACCCCGAACCTCCAACTGCAAAGTGGATGAAGTTTCGAAGCGTGAGCTAGTTGCTGTCGACTTTCCAAGGAAGAGTCTGCTCCCGACAATGCTGCGGTCTGCAGTTTCGTGCGGTGCTTGGCTAACCAATACTGAGGGTTCTCACGGTATTGCAGTGTCTCAAAATTTGGGCCTTTGCGTGTTGGATTACGTCGTTTGGTAGCTTTCAACAAAACAGGCGGGCGGGGTTTGGTGCAGGTTGAAGGCGATTTGGGGGTGTATGTTTTGAGGGCACCCTTGCTTAGGTTCGTTTGAGAATTAAATGGCAGCATGTTTCGGGTTCCATCTGAAGACAGATCAACATTTGCGGCCTGGCGCTCAGAGGTCAGACAGCAAGTCCGTGAAGCGGGCCTTGGGCCCGGCGCAAGCCAGTGGGATGGGACACAGCAACTCGCAGGGTTCTAGGGCGAAAGCGTCGTGTTCCCAAGAAGGCCCAAGAGGGCGCAACCTTGCGTGGCGGTGTATGTGAATCCGTGAAGCCCTGGAATGAAGCCAACCGCTGGCTTATGGGTAAACTAACGCTTGAACACGGAGAAGTTGACCCAGACCTTGGAGTCAGTGGCGTTGCTTCAGCACTCAGGATTCGATCTCCAGGGCGCAGCTGATCCCGAACCATCCGGGGATGCTTGGGTGGAATGGGAGCCCGTCCGTTTGGTTCTGCCAGAAATAGGCGACTCCTCCAACGAACAAAACACGTCGCTTTCCTCTTGGCATGCCTTTGAAACCATCTGAAAAGGCGTCTTTCATTTTGAGATGGACTCCTTGTCAAAGAGAATCTGTGGATTTTCCGCGGGTTGTGCCAGTTTTGATACATCGCCAAGTGAAGTGGAAGGGATTTCTTGGATCCCGACCTTCCTTGAGCCGAAGAGCCCCAAAAACCCCAAAAGGAAGCTGGGCGTTTAGGAGAAGGGCCTGCGCAAGTGGCAATCCAAGAGGAAGGTCCCTAGCTTTCCTTGCTTGTTGGACCCAATCCGTGTTTGGCAATTCGGGGAAGGCGGGCAAGTGTGCTTTTTAGTTCTGGCCAGACGATTCTGGCAGGAAACCCTGTGGCTGACTTGTGAATTGAGCGAGGCGAGGAGGGTAAAGCGAGCTCGGGCCCCGTGAGGAATGTTTGCCTGGGGTCTCCATGACCACCCCAACGGGACGGGGGGTTCATGCAGACTCCAAGTCTCTATTTAAGTGGATATTTCGGTTTTACAGTTTTGGATCTGCAATAACATATTCAGAACGAAGTCACCGGCTTGTGCAGCTGATTCCGGAAAGCAACTCCCTTGCAATAGGCTCGAAGTCCCCACAGCTCCTACTGAAAAAGAGGGGGCACTGCATTTTTCCAGCTGCTGGCAACGGGGGAAGCCCCCTGGTTTTCGACTCCGGTGTTTTTTGAAGCAACCCCGCCACCAGCGTCTCTCACCCGGGAGCAACTTCCTTGACCTCACGTGATTCCCAACCCTCTGGGCTTCTTGGAACCGGTCAGGCCGGTCAGGGAGCGATCTCTCCACCTCAACTGATGCTCAGGGTTTGTGCCTTCCGGTTTTCTTCCGGGGAAGAAACACCCGCCTTTTCGGGCTGAGGAACATTCGGGAGTACTACAACGTTGAGGCGCCTGGGTGGTGGCCCTGAACGCGGCATCTCTTTATTTCGAAGGATGGAATTGGGCTTCCCAAAAAGTCTACATGTGCATATGTCGAGCATCACAAGTTATGAGCATTGCGGACTCGGTGAGCATTGTGAGCAATAATTACGCAGCTTACGAAGATCATGGCAGCAATGAGTATTGCAGGCAGTGCAAAGCGAATGAACGAACGATTGTGAAACATAGAAATATTGTGACAATTCAATCAACTACGCCAATTGCGAAACTTAAGAGTATGAAACAAACACGAACCACATGCACATTTCATTTACGACAACTTCAGGAATCATCATGTGGAAAGCCAACAGATGAATGCCTTTTGGAGCTGCGCAGGCGAAGAAGCTCGGCGAAGGCACCTACGGCTCGGTCTCCAGTGCCAAGTGCGGAGCCCAACGCCGGCCTTTAAAGGGGCACGTTAAACCTCGCAACGGCGCCGGGTTGGCTTCGCTTTGAACCCTCGTTGAAAATCGAGGTGGCCCCCAAAAAGTTCAGCGCTTCTACCTGGGGCTCTTTGGAACGGGGTTTGAAGGGCACCAAGGTGGGATCAAGAATTGGGCAGAGCATTTGGGAGTGGATACTCATTCAGGGATGAATGGAGATGTTTGTTGAGCCCAAACTTCAAGCCATAATTATCGGTGCTTATTTGGCGCAAGGGGATTTGACGATCCTTTCTGGTTTGTTTGGTTTTATCCCTGGAAGATTTGGCATGGGACGTGTCGGGAAGACGATCTCGATGCTGATTTCTCATGCTTGTGGTTGGGGGACAGCTTAAAAATGGATTTTTCATTTTTGGCAACCCCCCCACATGAGATCCATTCACCTCCTCTTTCTTCTAGGGAGTTGAATTGACCTCATGTCCTATCCTTTTGCGTGGCACCAGGCACAAGTCGACCGGCGCCGTGCGGGCCGTCAAGACGATGGCGAAGGACCTGCCAAGCATTTCTGCCTTTGATTCTTTGCATGGTCTTGGGTATTCTCCTTGACAGGCAGGTTTTGAGGACTCACAGTTGATTCTGTTGGGTGATACCCAGTATCTCAAGGCAACATCATGGGCAGGGACGCTTGGAAGGCTCCCTACGTATGAAGCATGGCCGCGTAGGGCATGGTGCAATCGCCAATGACGACCTGTTGCCAACTGTGAGTTCCACTGAGAGATGTGTCCAGGGCCATGTCAAGAACATGGAGCGCTTCAAGCAGGAGATCCTCATCATGAAGGCTTTGCACAGATTCAGTTCTTGCCTTCTAGCTGGGGTCTCTCACAGTTTCGGTGTCCCGTGAAGCGGATGTGTGGCCTGGGTCGTTGGCAATTCAGGCCTCTGCAGACAGATGGGGCAAGCCGGTGTGATGCAGAGGGATTTGCACGGCATGATTCTTCCTTTCCTCTGCACAGGTGATGGACCACCCGAATATTATCAAGCTCTATGAGACCTTTGAGGATCGTTGGGCGCTTATGCCTCTCGTTGAACACACCACTCTCTCTCTCTCTCTCTCTCTCTCTCTCTCTCTCTTTGTATATAAGTATATATACACATCGCTCTCTCTCTCTCTCGCTCTCTGTTTCTCTGTGTCTCTGTCTCTCTGTGTTTCTCTCTCTCTCTCTCTCTTTTTTTTCTCTCTCTCTCTCTCACTTTCTTCTTTTTGTTTGTTTGTTTCTTTCTTTCTTGCTTGCTTTGCTGTGCTTTGAATTGTTGGCTTGCTTTCACTTTTCTTTCTTCCTCAGTTTCTTGTGTTGTTTATCTCTCTTCTGCTCTCGAGAGAGAGAGCGAGAGATCGTGTAGATGTTGACTTGGGTGTTTCCATGAAGTATGAGCTCCCAAGAATTGGTTGATTCTCTCTTGGTTTGCCATTCTTAGTACCAGTGCCCAGCGGATGTTCCCGATTTAGGACCCCTCTTTGAGCCTTGGGAAGACCAAATGAGGTCGCCACCTCTATCTGGTCATGGAGCTCTGCACCGGAGGCGAGCTCTTTGACAAGATCCTCGAGGCGCCCAGCTGGCGTACTGTGGATGGACGAAATCCATTTCGCACCACCTATGAAACCCTGGAAAATACCAACAAACAATGGTTCCTTTTGGTTTCCAAGTGGATTTCGTTCATCCACATCTCTGTGCCAAGGGAATCCACTTATTGAGAAAGCACTGGGTAGCACAGAAAAAGCTTCTTTTGTTTCTCGCAATCAGGTGTCTAGTTGCCAGTTCCGCTACAATTTTGAGAACCATTGTAAAGAATTCCGTGCAGGGAACCATGGAACTATGACCGACATAAGAGTTGGGGAAGGGACATTTGTTTCCCGAAATCGGGCATCCGTGACTTCCGTTTTTAACCCAATCTAAAAAAAGAGGCTGTTCAGAATTTAACCGAGTTTGGCACCGTTTCCGAGTTACTGATTCTTCTCCTTCCCATTCGCTCACTTCCAACGATGCATTCCGAAGCGGATGGCTTTTTGAAAACCGGCGAGCTGGCTATCCAACGACTCAGAGAGTTCCGTGTTTCGACTACACCCGAATCACCTTGAAAACCGGTAAGGCCTGTATACCTCATTATCCTTGTCTTGAAAAGTCTAGATTCATACGCCGGACTTGCCGTTGCCAAGCTGGCCTATGTTCATCATCCTTGGAGCCGTGGACTGCCGGCCTCAGACGGGGCACTTCATGGAGTCGGACGCAGCCATTGTTGTGCCCGGCGCTGTGTGCCTGCGACCTTGCCAGTGGCACCTGTAGTAGAAACTAGACCGTCGAGTGCACTAACGTTGCTTTAATTAGAGCCGGTGAGGCTTTCTTTCAATATTATAGGGGTCTTTCGCTTGCGTCATGTCTTGCGCCTCCCATTGTTTTGCTTCCTTCCGATGGGATGCATATGGAGTGCGGGTAGGTTCATTTGGGTGCTGCCAACCCCCGTGTCCATTGGGCTGGTGCTTGAAGGGGAACAAAAAGTCAACCTACGATTTGTTTGGGTGCAACCAATTCCATGTGGTCCGACCGGAACCCCCAGGCAACAAACAAGTTACTCAGGTCGCACATCCTGCATGCCATTTTCTACATGCACAAGCTTCTCAGAATGCATTACATCCGTTGTGCTTGGCTTTGCGTGCAGGGCACAACCATTTCCTTGTGTCAGTGCCTCAAGCGAGCACACTGAGGAATGGTGTTTGCTCGGCGCTCAGAGCCAGTCAACGAATGGTGCAAGCGGTGTAGCTTTGATTTGATGTTACAAATTGCAGTGTACACAATATCTGTGTTTGTTTACACACACACACACGCACACACCCACATGTACACATATACACGTACATGCTTCATTGTGATCTTGCCACACCACGCACCCTTTGATGATTGTTCTTTGGTATACTTGCGGTCAACCAGTGGCAACTCATGACCTTCAATGACTGATTGAAGTGGCTCATTAAATTCACTACTTGGTCAGCTACGTTCTTCCCCCCCCCCACCCCCTCCCTTCCCGTCCCCCCTAAAAAAAACAAGACAAAACACAAAAGCGCAAAACGGCCAGGCGCCCCATGCCGAGCTGGGCCACCGAACTGCAAAGGCCTCCGGTTCGAAGCCGACCGAGGCCACCGGGATCTGAAGCCAGAGAACTTCTTGCCGCTGGGACCAATCGCTTGGGAGGCAGTTTGGGCCATAAACATCCCATGTACACTCCGTCCCAACATGGCACCTGGCAGAGGGTCCATTGAAAAGGGAAGTTGATCTTCCGGGGAGCCTCCCACAGATGCTAGGAAAAGTGGGAGGAAGGGTTCCTGATTCGAAGGATCGGGCTGTGAATCTGGTGTTCGTGGATGTATCTTTTGGAGAATCCTGAGTACCGCCCATATGCGTGTGTCGGCGGATAGAGGGGCAAAGCCCCCGCTCAAACCACCCACAAACGATTCTTGACCATGGCACATTTGGGTGTGGCATTCTATCATGAAAACAACATGGACATACACGCAAATTTTGTGGCTTCTCCCATTTAGAGACGAACCCACACCCACATATGAACCCATGGTTATTCATAAGCAGTAGGTCCTCTGTTCCTGCCAGTCCTGTCGTGCCCTAACAAAAGAACGGTGGATATCAAACGGTTGGGTGACACGACCGATCACAGTCGCGCCGGCCCAGGTTTCTCTCGAAGGCCTTGCCGGCGAAACTTGCAGTGCGCCTTATGACAAACGGGGAGGTCTTTTTTAGACGGCCTTGTTGAATGAATGTATGGTTGCCCCGTAAAAGTGTAGGTTTTGTTGTGGAGAGGCTAACAGGTCCCAAAAAAAGATGGCACCAGGAGCACCCTTTGAACGAATGCTTGCTAGCTGGCTGGGCGTCCAAGACGTGTGGGGTTTTGAAAGAGGGCGTGCTGATATTTGTCCATGCTGGCAAATGTCAGGCTGCGCATGAGCACGCCAGCTTGCCGCAATGGGGGATGTCCTAAACTGAAAGCCCTCTCTTTGGCTAGCGAAAGCGAGAGGAAAACAGAAACATTTTCTTTGGATCTTCTGGGACGAACCCATGTGAGCAATTGACAAACTTATTGGTCATCTACTGTTGGTTTGGGGCAGACATTTGGAGGGGGCCGGCAAACAGCAAACAGCATCCCACAATCGGGGTTTACGACCAACCATTTTTTTGCCATCTCGGGGAAGCATTCGTCAGTTTGGTCCGGGGCTCATGCGGCGTTTTGAGACAGGATCCCATTGCACAGAATCAGCTCAAGCTGATCGCTTGAGACTCAGCTTGCGCTCCGATTGACTGAGTACATCTCATGTCTTGGAGGACCAACAACCCCCAAAAGCAAGACTGGCCAAAACTGCAGAAGCAACAGACACCCATAAGCACAGGCCTATTCGCAAACATGATTGGGATGTGTTTTTTTGCTTTGAGTTTGCGGTCCATGGGCCGTCCTTCTGTCCAGGGAAGTTGTTGCACACCATTTGCCACATTTCGTTTCATCCATTGGTCCAGGGGATATGCTGCAAACCATGTGCCAAATGTTGCGCAGCATACACGGAAATGTTAAAACGCCTTGCCGCTTCCTTGGAAAGAGGCAACTGACACACAGAGGCAAAGTACGCGTTGTTAACACTTGTGGGCCCTCCCCTTCAAAAAGCATGTATTTTTTTTTTTTGGAAGGTAGATTCCTGAACAATCTGCAGTTCGAACCTTGTTGGATGCTAACAAGGTTCTTGGGATTCTTGCATGTTTTTGGGCTGTGTTGGAATAGCATATGACAGCAAAGATGGTAAGCTATTATCCAATGCATTGGTCCCAGTTTAATACAACCACACACACACACACACATGTTCATAGCCGACACCAAGTTTATGTCTTGGGTTTTCCAGCTTCTAGCAACTTGCAAGCGTGTAGGATCCCTTTCCAAATTCAAGACATGTCGCCAACTGGCAATGTTGCAAATCACAGAAACTGGACACACAGGCTTAGATCTCTTTTTGCAACAAGCTATTTCAAAAAAGACGACTGAGGTAAGATTGCCCAGACATCTTTTTTTTCTCAGATTCTTCAATCTCCAATGCGGCTTGTTAGATGCCCGCCATCTCTCGAAGTTCTTTCTAGAGTTTCCGAAAAGTGCCAAAAAGCCTAGATGCTCTTCAATCAAGCACACTGGAGTTGATCAGGGTTTCGGCATATCTATTTCCATCTTCTCCGGCGTCGCCAAGCCTGGAAAACAGAGTGTTTGGCTTCAGATTTATTTTCTCAGTTTCTCCGATTTCTTGAACGGGGGTGAGACATACCAGGCTTTTTCGGAGCACGTTCTTTTTTCGATGACCGTGTCTCAAACGCAACGATCCAATATACTTGGGCACTGGACCAGCTGGCAGGCAGCATGGAGACAGCGGGCCGGCACTATGTAAAGGGGGCAGGGGTCGATGATGCTTACCCCCCTTTGCTGTCGTAAAGAGAACTTACTGTCCCAAAGTCCTATGTGAACTGGGGACACCAATGACCGTGGCGATTTGTGCAACTCGATTTGCTCTGCCTTGGTAACCGTTTTTTCACTAGGCAGATGGATTCAGCGGGGCCGCAGCTGAGGATTTCGGGCTCTCGAGCCTCGTGTGCGATGGCAAGGCAGCCGTTTTCCCGAACCTTCAGCTGGCCGTGGTTGTCAAAATCCTTTTGGGATCCATTTTGGTTGGTAGGTGAATTCTCCACCCATTTTAGAACCTATTTAGTGGGGATTGGGACGTTCACTGGGGGTACGGGATTTTGACCCATGGCCAGATTAGACACTCAGAGTGGTTTGCTTAGGATATCAGCAACCCGGGATTGTGAGGGGAGGTGATCCATGGAGAAAGAATATGGCTTGGGTTTGGACAAAGTCATCGGCTGCCGTCACAACATGAGTTGATTCAGATTCCGCTCTTGCCTTTTGGTGACCAGCGTGCCATAAGTCATTTGATCTTAACATGCATGACAAGAATAATGTACATGCTTGAAGACTCGTAGCAGACACGCAGGGAGCGGGGGGCACCTGTGCAAGTCCCAGCATGCATTTGCCTTGCGTAGGCAATGTCCACCAAAGCTGGGACGCCATATTACGTCGCACCACAGGCGCCGATCGCCCGCACCGCTCGGATCTCTCCTTTTTGTTGGGTTCCGCTCTCATCGTGGCACGAATGCGGCCCCAGGTGCTGTCAGGCAAGTACGATAAGTCCTGTGACATCTGGAGCTCTGGCGTCATCATGCCCAGTCCCGAGTCAGGTTGCAGCTGGATTCAAGCACGGGGACCGACTCTGGTAAGATGCTTCTTCCGTTGTTTCTGAGATGAAGCGCATGGCCTGGTTTGAACCCTGGTACATTTCATCAATCACCAACTTTCAGTGCCACACCGGTTTTCCATTATTTTTTTGGTTGGCTAGGTAAGTGCTACCCTTTTCCTTGTTTGAGTTGGTTGCCCACTTTGTAATGTTGACCCCACATTAATCAACCCCAATTTATTAATAAGGGGGTGGTCCCCTCCAAAAAAATGAATCCCCGAGACACCCCCCCCTACTCATAAAACTGGGGGGGGATGAATATGGCATTTTTCCGCATGGGTCTCTGAGCCATGGAGACGTCAGGTACACGCTGCTTTGCGGGTATCCTCCATTCTACGGCAAGACCGACCAAGAGGCTGGGCGGTTGCCAGCTGACGGTACCAAGATGCTGGCTGAATCAGCCACGCTTTCAATGCCAAGAGTTTCAGTCCCTATAAAAAAACAATGGAGGGCCATTTTTTTTAGGATTTTTTTTTCGTTTTTTTTTAGGAATTATTTTTGTTTTTCAGGGTCGGTGGCTTTTCGGCTTTTTGGCTTTTGTGGCTTTTACGTGGGTGTTTGTGGCTTTTGTGGCTTTTCATTTCGCATCATCTGCATTCACAGTTCCTCTCTTTTCGCATCCTCTGCATTGCCAGTTCCGCTGCGGCAGGTGGCTTTTTGGCTTTTTGGCTTTTTGGCTTTTTGGCTTTTGGCGGCTTTCTGGCTTTGGCTTTTCGCATCCTGATGCTTTCCCAGTTGGTTTTTGGCCTTGGCTTCCTGCATCATCAGCATCGCAAGTTCCTCTCTGGGCCCCCCGCCACCCCCCTTTCGATTAAAATGCACGCCTAATTGAATCATCACTTTTTCGATCATCATGCGACAGCTACTTTTTAGATTCTTTGCCCCTATTTTTTCGATCATCATGGGGGGGGTGGCTGCCGTTTTACAGGGATTAGTTTGCCCGTATTTGAATCCTCACTTGTACCATGAGGCCTTGCCGCAGAGGAACTGATGACCCCCCTGCTGCTTTTTTTTATAAATATTTTCTTGGCCCTAATTGAATCATCACTTTTTCAATCATCATGGGGGGGGCTGCCCCCCACGATTTTTTGGACTTTTTGCCCCTAATTGAATCATCACTTTTTTCGATCATCATGCGACCGCTACTTTTTAGATTATTTGCCCCTAATTTTTCGATCATCATGGGGGGGGCTGCCGCCCCCCCCAACCCCCCCGCAATTTTTTAGACTTTTTGCCCCTGATTGAATCATCACTTTTTCGATCATCATGGGGGGGGCTGCCGCCCCCCCCAACCCCCCCCCTTTAATTGAATCATCACTTGTTCAATCATCATGGAGGGAATTGCCGCCCCCCCCCCTACGTTTTAAGTGTTTTACAGGGATTAGTTTGCCCGTGTTTGAATCCTCACTTGTACCATGAGGCCTTGCCGCAGAGGAACTGATGACCCCCGGCTGCTTTTTTTTTAATATATTTGTTGGCCCTTTTTGAATCATCACTTCTTCAATCATCATGGGGGGGCTGCCGCCCCCCCCAACCCCCCCGCTATTTGTTGGACTTTTTGCCCCTAATTGAATCATCACTTTTTCGATCATCATGCGACCGCTCCTTTTTAGATTCTTTGCCCTTAATTTTTCGATCCCCGCAATTTTTTTAGACTTTTTGCCCCTGATTGAATCATCACTTTTTCGATCATCATGGGGGGGGCTGCCGCCCCCCCCAACCCCCCCGCGCCTTTAATTGAATCATCACTTTTTCAATCATCATGGAGGGGATTGCCGCCCCCCTAGGTGTTTTACAGGGATTAGTTTGCCCGTGTTTGAATCCTCACTTGTACCATGAGGCCTTGCCGCAGAGGAACTGATGACCCCCGGCTGCTTTTTTTTTAAATATATTTTCTTTGCCCTACTTGAATCATCACTTTTTCAAGCATCATGGGGGGGCTGCCGCCCCCCCCAACCCCCTCGCTATTTGTTGGACTTTTTGCCCCGAATTGAATCATCACTTTTTCGATCATCATGCGACCGATCCTTTTTAGATTCTTTGCCCATAATTTTTCGATCATCATGGGGGGGGCTGCCGCCGCCCCCAACCCCCGCGCAATTTTTTAGACTTTTTCAATCATCATGGGGGGGGCTGCCGCCACGTTTTAGGTGTTTTACAGGGATTAGTTTGCCCGTATTTGAATCCTCACTTTTACCATGAGATGCGGGAAGCCAATTTGCTGGTGATGCTGGGGATGTTGGCTGGACATGCGGGGGATGTTGAAAACGATGCTGATGATGTTGACGGACTAGCGTAAAATACGTACATTTCGCGAGAAAATGCTGTAAATTACAGCATTTTAGGCGCCAGGACGGAAAACACAAAAAAATCCCAAAAAAAAACAAAAAAAAAACAAATTAAATCTCGACCCAAAAACAATGGGCAGCCTTGCGACCTGTGGGGTGGGGAGAGCTAATGGCAGAAATGCAACACCTAGATTGGTTGTAGGTTTCTTGGCTCCAATTTTTCCCTAAGGGCAGACATAAACCCAGGGCTGGTTGATTGCCTCTAAAAGGCGAGCCCCTTGGTAGGTTTGGCCCGGCACACGGCGCACGGGCCGGAACCTGCAGACAGGTCCTGCAGAAGGTGAAGGGTGGCAATTTCACCTTCGAGAACAAGGACACGAATTGCTTTCGCAGATTTTGGAAGCTCCTGTCTCAGTCTTCAAGCTCCGTTTTTGTTTGTTAATCGTATGTTGTGGTTTTCAGACGTGCAACCGCCGGTGCTCCTTGCAAGGGAGGCACCACGGGGACAATATCCAAAGGAGAGCAACACAACGGTGTCACAAGCAGCACAACGACAGTGTTGCCAATATCTCTATCTCGGGTTTCTCGCACGTGAGGTTCCCCGTGTGAAACAAACCCTGCTTGCCATGAATTTGAGTGAAAAATGATAGAACCGTGTCCACGTCTAGTGTCCACCAAAGGCTCCCCATTTACATGTACAATTCACATGCCATGCCGCTGTGTCCGGCGGCAGGACTGGAGGCACGTTTCGGAGGATGCCAAGGCGCGCTTCGACGGAGATGCGAGGCCAAGAAGAAGCCACCTTGTCCAAAGCCGAGTTTTGCTTCAACTCGTTTCAACCCCGATGTTCATTAAGATCCCTGTTCCGCTACGATCGGTTGCAAGGGTTGCCCCCACTTCAATACATGTTAGCCATCGACCCTCAGAGAAAATTCACACATCTCACGTTCTATCGTTTCAGTTGTAGACGCAAGCTTTTCCCGCACACGTTTCTTTCATCGGCTTTCCCTGTATTTCCCTTTTTGGCATTGTTAGACATCACTTTTGAGTTGCAAATCGAAGGTGCGTTTCCTGTTGGTGGGCGTGATTTTTAAAGCACGATCTTTTTCAGCGTGTGTCTTTGAGCGTTCCCTTTTCGCAGTCGTTTTAACGAGGGAGACCATGGCATGCCTTTCAAATTTTCGGACACCAACGGAAGTTCGCATCTTTTGGAGAACAAAAGGCAATCCACCTCTTTTAGGGCTTTGGGGTCGGACACCAAAGACAATTCGCTTGTTTCGGCGCCAACTTTGACCTGGAGGGACTGATCCGGATGCTGCTGAAGTACGACCCAGGCCACCGCTTCACCGCGGAGCAGGCGGGGTCAGGATTCGTCGCAGAATCCAGAGGTGTGGTGAATTTGGCTCGAAATTCGTTCGAAACCAAACATTTTTTTTTTCTCGAACTCATAGTAAACTCGTGGTTAGCCACTCACAAGAAATTCCCTTTTGAAATACCACGTTCCCACGTGGGACTTCTCAAAATAGGCCGACCCAGGGTGGTTTTCCCTTTGGTTTCCTTTCAAAACAGTCAACCCCAGAAGAAGGTATCCTCAAAACAGGAAGCACTCGTTTGAAGTATGGCCAGGCCTGTGGCGAGGGGAGGAGAAGCCCCATAGTGAGTTGTGTGTGTGTGTGTGTTTGTGTGTCTCAAAATGCCCATAGTCGCAAGTGGCTGCTTTTTGTCATGAGTTCCTCACTCAAAGCCCTTTCAATGTTTGCTTGCTGTTGGGAATCCATACAACAGCACTGACAACTATCCCTTCAAAGTCCAACCAAGACTCAAATGAGCCTGGGAATCCGCACAATTCTAGACATTTCCATCGTGAGCCGCTTGTCGAATCGGATTTGATGCACAATCAGTTTGATTTGATGATAAGGCCTGCTCAGAATGACATCTCTCCCCATGATGACTACTGCCTGTTTTCCAACATGAGGCCTAGCCGCTTGAAGAACACGCAGACCCACAGTCTTGTTCTTTCTTCCTTTTGTTTGATTGGCTTTCCCTTTGACATCAACTGCAAAGGTTGGCATGGCCACTGGAGGTTGAGAGCATTGATTTGGTGTGTCTTGCTGTCGGTTCAGGCGCTGCAGCACGAGTGGATCAGGCACGGATGCGAGCTTTGGCACTGCCAAGAAGCGATACGTGGGTTGGCTCTTTGGAAGGTACCTGGTCCTTGGCTTGAAGGAAGGCCACCTGGGACAAGTCGGGCATTTTGGGGTTCCCCTATTTTTACACTGGGGTTCCTCAACTTTGGGACCATGCGGATGGACATGTGTCAAAGCCAGGGATGCACGGATCCTTCCAAATGATCGGTTTCATGTTGATGCCCTCTTTGCGCGAGTCAACATGACATGAATCACAACGGACTTACGACACAGGGCGAGCGACCTCCCCGATCTGAGTGAGCCCCCTGCATTTACGGGCAAAAGTCAATGAGCCCAAACCACAACCTTCAAAAGGGAAGTTTTTTGGGGAAGACCCAACGACACCCCCTTATACCAGGCCAAAGCAGCCATGTTTGCCTTGAGGGTGTGGTGTTGGGGGCGACTCCGAGAGTTCCACAGTTTTAGTGAGGAGAGGTCCTTCATCGCGCCTCTTGTGTGCAGTTGCCATGGCTTCGTGTCATGCGCGTCCGATTTTGCTTTCCTTTCGGGCTCCCAGCTGTGAGGCTAGCTGCGTTAGTGCACCAGCCTAGCGCCTACAAGATGGGGACAAAAGCAATACAGCTCAGCTGACAAAAAACACTGCGAGTGAGTCTGGCACACCTACCTCTCTCCAGCTGCAAGACCATTGCAGTTCAGAGCCACCAGAGCCACCAGAGCCACCAGAGCAACCAGAGCGTCAAGCCCGACGATTTCCGACTCGTCCGATGCCTGAAGAAGGAGCCGCTGTGAGGGGGATGGTGCTTGCCAAGGCTTTCCATAGGGCCTCCCAAGTTGGTTTCATCTTGGCTTGACTTTGAATGACTGCGCGCAGCAGCTTCTCTCTGGTTGGTGGCTTGAGTTGGTGATTTGCAGCTAAGGTGGCAGCGCTCGGCCAACCCAAGTGATCACCATTTTGAGAAAGGGGTTTGTTTTTGAATTGGGACCCCCGCCCTCTGGAAATGGGTGGTTTCCCTTGGTTTTCGCTTAACCCTACGAAGGTACCCTTCAAACATCAACACCGCCAAAGTCCTTTTTTGACATGGTCCACTGCACCTTTTCCACCAGGAACCTCAAGCGGTTTCCGGTTTTCGCTCGCTGTTCCATGGCTTCATTCGTGGGCCGTCCGTTTGACGTCACTTGAATTTGGGGGACCTAGTTGAAAAGGACCAGCCTGGACCTCTCGCAGGGAGCCGTTTCAACTGGGCTTGCTGTTGAAGGGAACTCGGCCGGAACGGGGAACCGCTGGGAACTGCTCTTGCCAGGCGCTCGCCCCTCCCAGGGCGCGGGCGGAAGGCCCAACTTGCCAGGCGGCTGCGCAAACGGTCGGTTCTGTGACTTCAGCCGGCGGGGACATGTGTCCCTTTTAGTTCTAGAGGCATTGCCACGGGGTACCTTCTCCTCAAAAATACAAAGCCATATTTCATATCTTGATGTTTCCGAAAGATAGCTGGCTTTCCCGGGATGCTTATTTTACAGCGAGGAGCAAACTTGTGACATTTCGGGAGCTTGTTGAGTATCAGCCAAGATAAGGTCACCCCTCCAAACGAGGCCGGTTCGGGGATGGTGCCAAACCTCACATTTCAACAGACCTACGAGGAACGAACAACGTCAGAAGTCTGTTGCTGTTTTCCGTTCGTGGTACCAGGCCATTTGGTAGCTGTTGCTGTCTACATTCGCTCTGGTGTCCGGCCAAGGCATCTCCTCATCATACACCCGTGTGCAAGGCGAGCTCATTTGGGCCAGGCGGGCCAAGCCCTCTCGACAGTCCAGAGGCTAGGTTGTCCTTTCGCCACCATTCATTTGAAAGAGCATACCTCCAAAAGGAAGCCGTTTCGATTTCAAAGGGCGGGTGGGGTCTTTTTTTTGGACACCGGAGAAATGAACCCATGGTCCGAACGGTGCCAGGAAATGCACCGAGGAGTTGCAATACGTGCGCCACCGCACAGCGAATCCTCCCAGGCGCTCCGCACGGCCGCGCGGAAGCCGGGGCAAACCGTTGTTCCACATAAAACAAGCCGCAGGCTTGCACCAGCAGGTGCCAGGCTGCACAGAAGGCTAAAGGGGTTGTGCCTTTGGAGAGGGCAACATGGCTGTGGGTCAAAACCAATAGTACCATTTTGGGGTAGGTGCACCACCCATGTTAGTCCATTTTAGTGGGGATTGAGATGTTCACTGGGGGTACGGGATTTTGACCCATGGCCACATGGCAAATTATTCGAAAAGAATCCGCAAACATGTGGTGAGATTTGTTTCCATTTTTCATGATCGAAATCGAGAGCAGTTCTCACGCACATCCGAATCCCGGCCAGCAAGCGGGCTACCGAGCGTCTGCTGCTGACCGAATCTCTGGAAACCTATCTTGAGCTTTCCTTCCCAAGTTTTTTCCTTGGATTTCGACTCTTGCCAGTGTCGATTTGTCCGAAGCACCGCGACCCGACCTCTCCCACCCGACCTCCCCCGTCCAAACGTCTTCAGGGGGAACAAGCGCTTGGGCAAGCTGGGGATGTTTGAGCTGGTGCCGGGAACCTAGACGCATGGGTGTCGGGTTGAGAGACCCAACAGGTGGCTTCGAAGCTAAGCCATGTCAAGCTTGGAGTTACTCGGGTGCTGAAGACCAGTCTGTACGTATATATATATATATATTATAATGATATATTATGTTTTGTTGCGTTGGGCAAAGCAGAGGTACCTATCTTTTCTCAATCCGTCCTGGACAAAGGGGTTTGGTGTCACCATTTTCTCAACTGGAATTTAGCAGCCATCGCAAGGGTTTTTCACGGATCACCTGGACCATGACCATTGCCGGAGTGTTAGCCATGGCACTGAGCGGTTCCCACGAGGCGGCACCCATCTTATGTGGACATCAAGTTTACCTCTTCACCGAGGCTCGCAAATGGCGTCATTGTCTGCCAAAGTTAAGTAAACTCATCAAACGCTGTGCTTCAGGTGAGTTGGATCGCATGGTTTCTCGAACTAGAATCAGTTTTTGGGACTTAGCTAGGCGCATTCATCTGATATCTTTCCGTTTCGGTTTGTCAGGGAGTCGCAATGCAGCGCCATTGCAAGCCTCGTCACAGGCCTCTGCCTCAGTTGGATCGCAACAGGGGACATAGGATGGCTGCGTTCAGATGTGGGTGTGTCATTTTTGAGGGACCCTTCTTGGGATGGTTTTCCTTTGATTTCCTGTTCAAAAACCACCAAAAGGGTACCCTCAGAAAGACAACCCCATGTATGGTTTCATTGACCGTGTAAGCATTCGTGTGGCATGAAGGCTAGCATGGACATGCGCCGTCAACGGCTCAGTGGTTGGCATCGCAGGCATCCTCGCTTTTGTTGCCTGTGCCCAGCTCGAGCATCAATGCTGGCTTTGGACCCTATCAAAGAAGATGCACCTCCGGTGTCGCCCCTTACATCCTTGAAACTCTTCTTGCATGGATATTGCGGGACTCTCTTAACTTTCCAACCAACACCAGGGGGCCCTCGATTGTCCCACGTCCTTCAACCCCATTTGTGAGTGTGATGGTTCGAGGGTACCATTTTTTTGGGTTGCTTTATAGAACGCAAGCCTCACATCTGCCCGGACGTAGGCATAGGCCCCACTCGCCTGTCCCAGCTGGAGCCCTTGGCGCAGGGGCCTTTGCGCGATGTTGCCGCAAGGTTGGACGGGTCAAAGGAAGCAAAAGGAAGCCGAAAGGCCGCGTCTAGAAGTAGTTACTATAGGTCGGTGCAGATGGTGGCTAATGGTCACTAATGGTGAATAGATCACCCCATCTATGGTTACTGGGCAGGTAGGGATTCATTTTTGTCCACGGGTCCTGCCTCTGCCAAGAGTGAAAACCTTGGTTGCCGAGGCCGCAGGGACTTCCTCTGGCAGACTTGGTAGACGCAGACTGCCAGGCCATCTGTGCCGTGACATGCGATTCCTCTCCTCAGGCTTGGTGGCATGCAAGCCACAGGCCATTTGTTTCCTGCGAACGTGGATCCAGGTGGATTTTTCCGAGTCAAAACCCAAAACCTTCCGCCAGGCTTCGAACGTCTCCGTTTGCTCTTCCGCACCTTTGGAGGTCAATGCCTCGATTGGAATTGGGCCCAGAGCGCTTTCTGCATGTGCACCATGCCATGTGCACCATGCCATGTGCACCATCGTCAAAACATTCGGCCCCTTGAATCCTCAAGGACAAGCTAGTCAATCTGTCAGGGACTCACAAAGACAGGGTAAGGCCACCCTTTCTGGCAACAAATATCCATCTCTAAGAGGATTTGACCATGCCTCATCTCCAGTCATTGCAAGCCGTCTGAGATGCTGAAGTATCAGAACCACTCATCCGACTGGATGAGGCAGCGCAAGGGGCCATGTCGGGCCTTTGTTTGGTGCATCGGGTTGGCCAAACACGTGGGTCGATTGGTGCTTCGGCAGGGAGAGCAAGAGCTGGTGAAAGGAGCCTTGATTGCCCGGAGTCTGGCTGCTAAGCTATCTGCACACAGCCACTGTCTCCTTTTGGAGGGGCAGGCTCCACTGTGTTGTTCCCCTGCAAACAACAACTCGTTCGGGGTTGTCAAGCCCTGACGTTATTGAAGGACGTATCAAGATTGGCTCCTGGTCAGTTCGCAAAGGACCTGATGAGGTCGCCGAGTTCTCGCAGAATGCAGGGTTGACATGGTTTGGTATAGACCCCTTCAAGTTGCCGGGTTCCGTTGGAATCCACACGACACATATAGGGGATGCCACTATTTCGCATGATTGAAGAAGTTGCATCATTGGTGAACAATCCTCCATCCCGTGCGCTTCCTTTTAACATGGGCTTCCCCGTTGGAGTACATACCAAGGCGCATGTTGGTTGCCCTTTCGGTCTCCTTCCACTAAAGGACTCAAACTTTTGTGTTCGAGGCAAACATTGCGACGGTGCCTAAAGTAGGACCTAACAGGGGTCGATTGTGCCTGGTTTTTCGACCCCCAAGCAGTGTGCCACAGGCGGCTGGAGGGCCAAGCCATGCACGCTGACGTCCAAGGCCGGGTGCCGGGGGTCAATGAACATGCTCGCTCTTAGCGAGTTCGGGGATGATTTCCCTCCTTTCAACCATAACTTAAAAATAACTTAGAACAGACAACAGGAGAAGCAGAGAACAAGCGAGAAAGTGGGAAGCTTCCTTTCGGAATAGTTTGAGAAGAAAGGAAACCAAGGGGACATGGAGTTGGACCCCGTAAGCATGGCACCCACCCTAAACCAACACCCACCCTAAACAACCACTAAAGCATCCCTAAACAAACTCTAAACCAGCTTGAACCTACAGCCGCCCTAAACCCACCCTAAACCAACCCTAAACCAGCCCTAAACCAACCCTAAACCAGCCTGAAGCCCAACCCAAACCAACTCTAAACCCACCGTAAACCAGGTCTAAAACAAACCCTAGCAAACCCTAAGCAACCCCTATACCAAGCCTAAACCGCCCGAAACCAACCCTGAACCACCTAAATCCATACTCCACCAGCACTACATTATTCCTAAGCCAACCTAAAGCTACCCTGACCTACCCGAAACCAACCCTAAACCCGCGACAAACCCACTAAACCCGACCCTGAGCCCACCCTAAACCAGCACTAACCCAACCCTAAACCTGGCCAACCTAAACCAACCAAAACCCCCCCCCCTAAAGAAACCCAAGCCCGTCACAAACGCACCCTAAAACATGAACCCTCTGCGGCTTTTCTTGGTCAGGATCGCCCTGCCAAACCTAGGAAAAAAGGCCGCGCCGAACATAGGACAAACACACCTTCCGCCTTAATGCTGGGAGCCTGTCCATGCAAGACATGGGCCTGTTGTTGGTGCGTCGCCCGCTTTGTGTCTTCTCAATTCTGCGTGTCAGCTCTTGCGAGCATTATTGGCAGCTTGATGCCCGTTTGTCAGGAGTCCTCATATTTTCTTCTGGGTGGTTTAAATGCCACCTTTCGGGCCAGTTTTGCTGGAGCTTCCTTTTTTGGGGGTGATGTTTGTTCTCACAAAAGGTCATCCCTCCAGAAACGCCATTTTGTTTTCTGCCTGCCGGAGAGCAACCACTGGCGGGTGGGGTGCAGGTCCACCTCTCGCGATCGTTTCCGGCAGGCCGCACAGTGCAGTCCCTGAAGAAGTCCCTGACCGCCCTGAGCGTCAGGCCGTGGGTCCGGAGTGCAGAGTGCCATGTGGGTGTGGCTCAAAATCAAGCAGGAGCGGTTACGCAAAGTTTGGTCCATGCTTCCACTTACCAGAGTTCCATTTTGGTACCGGTTTTTTGAGCCACAGCCATGTTTTTTTGTGTCATTCCCTTGGCGTCATCGAAGCTCGGGGGTCTGGGGTCGACTCGTCCGCAGCTCTCGTTCCCGGCAGGCCGCCCAAGAAGCTGCTGATCTGAGCGGCTGAGTGCGAGTCGCGAGTCACATGGTGTGCGTCCTTGGGGAGCCTGGCAGTTTTGCTTGTGGTTTCAAAGGCCACCTCTTGAACATTTCGATTCAGAGTGAGTTTTGATTTGGTGCTTTGCCTTTCAGAATGGACCAATACGGGTACCCAGCGATGCGTGACGGATACAACAGACGCGCACGCACAGCAATAGCCATCAACAGCCAGGAAATAGCATTGCAACAAAACAAGGCACTGACATAGGGAATTCGCTTCGCACGCTCCTAAGGAGCTAGCGGCATGCGGAAACGCTAGTGGCAGAAAGGGAGTGCATTGAAGTCTCGCTGCTCTGGAGCCAACCGGCAACATGTTCTGTAAAATGAGCTTAGTGGGGACTCTGGCATGCACATCATGGAAGCCGTTATTCTGGAAGGTGCCCTGTGTGAAGTGAAGAGAGCTTTCATTCCACACCATGCAGCTGTTGGGATAAGCGATGACCCTGATCCACAAGTTTTCCGTCGCTTTGAAGTGACAAAGGTCCAAGGGCATTGCGGAAAGTGCTGTTTCCCACAGTTTGTTTGGTGCAGAAACCATGCAGCCACTTTGGTATTGCAGAAAGGGCGATTTCCCACTTTGGTGCAGTGGCTATTGACAGTGAGGTTCAGAGCCTGATGAAATCCTGGCAGGTGTCGTGCGCCGCGGGCGACCATGGTGTCGCTGCAGGAGAGATGGAGGGTGTGAAAGCCGGAATTCTGTAGGCAGTGTCCCTTTGGCTTCTTGAAACAACCCCCCCCCCCGAAGTCCTTTTGGCCTTTTGGAAACAAAACCAAGGAAGGGACCACCAAGAAAAAAATACACTGAAATGATGCCGACGGCTGGTTGGGTGTGCCTCAGTTGGGAAACCAGAACGGTCGTTTGGAGAGATCTTGAATTTGAAGCAGCCCCAGTTGATCCCATTTGCAAGTATGCAACCAAGCCGGTTTTGGCTTTTCTTCGCAAACTCTCTGTGTGTGTGTGTGTGTGTGTGTGTGCGGAGTGGCAGAAGACCCTGCCACCAATCTTTTCTTCGTCAACAGGGGGACCATCCATTTGCTGTGTGCGATGGTCCAACGAAGCGGCCACAGCAAATGCGGATATCGAGGCTGATCACCTCGACGTACCTGTGCATCTCGTGTGATTCAAAGTCCTTTTGGCCCGCTGTTTCTTTCGCTGTGTGTGCTTCCTGTTCTTTCGGTTAACGTTTTCGTCACTAGAGGGAAGCAGAGTGCATCGTGAGCCGAAACTCATCATACTCGAGACTTGTCGGTTGTACTCGAGACTCATCAGTTGTACTCGAAAGATTAGCACTCTCCATCTGGAGTTCAAGTGTGTACACCCCATTCGTGGGGAATCCTCGGGTGTACCCATTGTGTGACCCCGGGCCGGCTCTGTCGGAAAATTTGACCTCAACGTGCTGATCATAGAACAGCGGAATTTCACATTTAACCAGGAGCGAGGTTTCACTAAAGGGAAGACAGCCGTCAGACCATAGCGACGTCTCACCCTACGTTCCTTTTTTCTCGCCTTCTTCATCCGCGTGCCCGTCTTCTGGTCCTTCGCCCGCTTAGGGATGGCTTCTCCTTCCTCCCGTTCTCTTTTTGCTGCCTTTCGTGACCCGCGCGTTCGTCCCGCTCCTGTTCGCCCGCTTAGGGATGGCCTGGTTGTCCTCGCGTTGTTCACCTTTTTCCTCGTCTTCGTCTTCGCGTCTGTCTTCCTGTTCCTACTCCTCTTCTTCCTCGCGTAGTTTGGCTTGACGTCTTCTTCCCCTTCCGTTGCTACTTCGGGTCCGTCCTCTTGGCCCCTGTGCGGGATTCGACGTCTTTCTCCGCGAGCCTTGGTCTTCATCCTCTGTTCCTATCTGGGCGGGATGCGTCGCCCTAAAAACGCATACTACTACTTCCCTCTTCCTCTTCTTTCTTCCTTCTTCTTTCTTTTCTCCTTTTGTCTCCTTGCCTTTTGCTTCTTGTTCCTTCTTCCCGGGCGGGATGCGGCGCCCTAAATACGCACCCTGATCCTTTCTCTTTTTTCCCCCGGGCGGTTGCGACGCCCTAAATACGCTTCTGTCTGTCTCTCTCTCTCTTTCTCTCTCTTTTCTGTGTCTGTCTCTCTCTCTCTCTCTCTCTCTCTTTCTTTCTCTCGTTCGTCCCTTTCTTTCTTCCCTTTCTTTTTCTTTCCCTCTCTGGGCTATTTCTTGTACTTCCTGTTCGCCCGGTTAGGGATGGCCTGCTCCTCTTCTGCCTCTTTGCCTTCGCGGCCCCTTTCGTCTACAAGGTCTAGGTCGTTTTTGTGCTGGTTGGGGTTGTTGCCCTCGGAGACCCGAAACCTGGCTTCCCCGTTGTTCTTGTTTCTTGTTTGGGGTTTTGCCCGCGGAGACCCAACCTGGGGCCTTTCTGTTTCTTTTGGGTTCCCTTGCTCCGTTTGTTTTCTGTTGGGGTCTTCGCCCGGTTTTGGGGCGCGTGGTTTTTCTCCCCCCGAAAAAGTGGTTCTTCCTGCAGGAGAAAAGAGAAACCTCGCCCCTCGTAGAGGGGCGTGTGTGTGCGGAGTGGCAGAAGACCCTGCCACCAATCTTTTCTTCGTCAACAGGGGGACCATCCATTTGCTGTGTGCGATGGTCCAACGAAGCGGCCACAGCAAATGCGGATATCGAGGCTGATCACCTCGACGTACCTGTGCATCTCGTGTGATTCAAAGTCCTTTTGGCCCGCTGTTTCTTTCGCTGTGTGTGCTTCCTGTTCTTTCGGTTAACGTTTTCGTCACTAGAGGGAAGCAGAGTGCATCGTGAGCCGAAACTCATCATACTCGAGACTTGTCGGTTGTACTCGAGACTCATCAGTTGTACTCGAAAGATTAGCACTCTCCATCTGGAGTTCAAGTGTGTGTGTGTAAGGCGCCACGGCGATGGTGTGGAATCGCCAGGGTTGTTTTCTTCTTGCCCTCTATTGTGGGCAGCTGGAAACTTGCGTTGGAGGTGAGTGCTTCTGCCGGTCTCCATTGCAGTCCCTCAAGTGAAGCGGAATCATCCGCAGACGGGTCGCTTTGGCAAATCGGCCCTTGCCAGGAGGGCATCGTGGAGAATCTTCGCGCCTTCCGGAGTCAGCACAAGATGAAGAAGGCGTCTAAAAAGCGAGAGGAGTTTAGAAGGTTAGGTGCTCACTTTGAAGATGAGCACCTATTGCCAAATCTTCCGGCTTCTTGAATGTTGGTAGAACCCAAAGACAATCTTGGTTTGGGTGCTGCTCAGATATGCAAATTTCGGTGCTTGGTCAAAATGAACCGACTTCTTGAAATGGATTCTTGTACAGCGTTGCTTTGACCAGCCGCAACCGTTGGATTGTGTAAGAGCGGGGTGCCATAGCAGCCCTGAAGTGCATCATGAGCACTGTCAGGCTGCCCTGCACATCATCGCTGGGCAGCTGAGTGAGGAGAAGATCAAGGCAGTGCACTTGCTTGATGTTTGGCACAGACAGATTCCCCAAACCAATCCCCGAATAAAGCCCCATCAGGGCCCTAAAGCCTTTTGGGGCCCTACTTGGCACACCCGGGCGAGGGTGGCAAGTCGGTGGGGAGAGAGGGGTTTGGACACACCACCCCACATCCCCCACACCTTTCCAGTTTCGGTCCGCTAAGCCCCCTTCATTTGCTGCGGGGTGTCTGGGACGTGTCAAGATTGGCATTTGGACCCCCAAAATCTCAAAATCGGTGATGTCTGTTTGGTTTCCCCAAAAAGACACCACCAAGTGGAGTACCCCCCCCCCCTCCCCCGAAAAAAGAAAAAGAGAAAGAAAAGACCAAAGAGGAAAAAGAAAAGGCACGAAAAAACAACAAAGGAGCATCGCGTGATGCATGGGGTGAGCATTTGGGAAGCCACCAAAAAGATTTGACAAAATCATATGCTGGACAACCAGAAAGAAGCAGGAATATTGATCAACTCTAACCAACCCTAGCCAACCCTGGGGCCAGACATATTGATCAACCCCAAAAAAGCAACAAAAACAACAAAAAGAAATCGAAAACACAGAAACAGCCCCCCCCGCCACCAGACACGGCGAGCCTCCCATCGCGAGGCGCTGCGCCAGACCTTCGAAGCGCTGGATGCCAACGGCGACGGCCTGCTCACCGCGGAGGAGCTGAAGGCCTGGGGCGATGCCTTTTTGTTATGTGTTTTTTTTTTTTTAAAATTATTCTTTCCGGCTTAAAACACGAAGCCACGAGAAAGAATGCGTCAAAACACAACAAACAAGTACCTGAATAAGTAAGTAAATCAAGAAAGGCATACCTAAACGACATACATACATACATAGACAAACCAAGACATCAATTGGATAGATAGATAGATAGATAGATAGATAGATAGATAGATAGATAAAATAGATAGATAAAATAGATAAGATAGATAAGATAGATAGATTGTAGATACATACATAAACAAACACACTAACTAACCAACAACTGAGAAAACAGCACATCTATAAATAGACAACCAAGCAAATAAATAAATGAGTAGTAAGATACTTAAACAACAAATGAGTCAATACATCACTCGATACATTGGGCTCCTGTTTGGTTCCCCACCGACAGGTTTGGGCTTGTTAGACTTAACTAACATGCGTTGCATTCACCCGGCGCTGCATGACACTGTGACAGAGCCTATACGCACCGGGCAAGCGAGCCGCAAGCGAGCCATTGTGATTTCAGGGCCTTCATGAAACTTTGTTTGTTTGTTTGTTTGTTTGCTTGCTTGCTTGCTTGCTTGCTTCCTTCCTTGCTTGCTTGCTTGCTTGCTGGTTGGTTGGTTGGTTGGTTGGTTGGGGTTGGTTGGTTGGTTGGTTGGTTGCGCTGATGTTTAGGGCTGCGTTCGGCCTGTTGTGCTTGCTTCTAGACTGTTTGGAGCTTTTGTTAACACATCCGCTTGCCGTGAAATGAAGGTACCAGGGCTGACAATGAGTATAGGTGGGTCAGTCTGTTTTCTGGATTCTATCATGAGGCTGTGTGGGAGATGGATGCGACTTGACTCTTTGCGAGAGTGATCGTTGAACACACAAGCTGGGTGTATCTTGGGATGTCAACAGCATCTTGTTGAACGATCATCCAAAGACTGTGGCATCCGCTCTTGAGCTGAGTTTTTTCTTGCAACTTGAGTTCTGATCGTCTTCAGAGTTGAGCTATTTGCATCGTGAGGGGCTGGGTTGATCGCATATCCGCGAAAAGGCATGGGGTGGGCGCTTTGCATCCACTTCCTCGTTGTGACCCACGCGTGGCGCCATTCTGTCTTAAAGTGTCAAACTCCGCCAGGATGGGATGCTGAAAGCGAACCTCGGAGATCTCCTCGATGGCATCGACTTGGAGGCCATCATGGAAGGCGGGGAGTGACAGGAAGGACAAGGGCTCTTGCGAACCGAAGGGGTCCTGCATGAAATGTTGAACCAGACAACTGAGTTTCCTGGAGCAGATTGAGGCATGTCCACCATGGTTCCAAGAGTGGTGTTTGGTTTGTCCGGTATGCATGAACATATGAAAGCAGGAAGGGACGGCTGTAGATATTGCCACAGCAACCCCCCCATGCCCCCCCCATCCCCCCCCTTTCCCCCCACGTTCTCCTGTCTGCAGGTGTGGACGCGGACGGCAGCGGGCTCATCGACTACACCGAGTTCCTGGCGGCGACGCTGGATAAGCTCGGGCGCCTGGAGCCTGACAAGCGCGCGCGCGAATATCAAGCGGCCGCCAAGGAAAATGGGCGAGCCCAAAGGTTGGGGTTCAAAGCTTTTGACTCTTCCTTTTGTGAGGGACAATAAGCAGGGATTACGTTAAAAAGGAAAAATAAAACAAAACAAAACACACACACACACACACACACAATACATAGGCGAAGAAAAGACGCGCAAACCCTTCGTCCTATGCCAGCGTGGCATCTCATAATCCATCTTGATGTGGGGAAAGAATGCAACAGCACATTCAGTTTTTGCTGACCCAGTCAGTCACTGACTCATTCACTCAGTCCTTCAAGGGATAAAAGACAACGGGCAAGAGCCTCGAGAGAAAGCTGGCAGAGGTGCCAACTACTTATGGTTGCAACTTAGGATCCAGACGTGGATTCTTACTCCTTCCCTCCAACTTCTTCCCCGCTCATTTGCCCAATTTTGGTGTTCGAAGGGAAGCACGGAAAACCAACGCTTCAAAGAAACCAAGAGGTTGGTTTCAATCAAACCAAGAGGTTGGTGTTGAATGGGAAACCACTAAGCCAGCATTTCTGTTGGTGGCCCTGCTTTTGGGACACTTCCCAAAGCATAAGGGTATTTTGCCAAGTTTGGCTCCATTGCAAGCAAATTGAAACCCAGGCGGCGGATTCGATGCGTTGACCCTAAAACAAGCTTTACATTTCATCCCCCTTCCTTGATTTGCCTGCCATGCGAATAACGCATTGTTGTTGTCGTGGTTCCAGCCCGTCCTCCCAATAAGTATGTGAAAGTGATATGTAACATACTATGTACCAAGGCCCCTGAACAGTTGGTGCGCCCAAATAAAGTGAGCATGTGAGGAACTGACAAGGGTTGGTTCGGGGAGGGCATGGGTTGCCCACCCAGATTCACCGCAAAAAGACAACAGAACTAATATAGTTTCTTCATGTCCTTGTAGGAGACAAGCAATTTTGTCCTGATCCAGTGGAGATTTGAGCCTCTAGCAACAAAATTTGGCTCTTCCGTTGCAGCCCGCAGGTTGTGGAGGCGCAAGGATGATTTTGGTTTCACGATAGTTTTTCTTTTTTAGACCGTGACAGGAAGGGTCTCCACTTTTGAAGCACCGCCAGGTGTCCCGCTAGAAGCAGGGATCCTGAATCCCATTTTTTTGCCGATCACAGGGCCCTTCTTACAGGGTGTCCTTTTGTCAGTCATGTTTAGAGGATGTACAGAGCCTGTCCGGTCCCTTCTGCCACGAGTTCTTTGAGTTGCATGACTCGATCTGACAGGAAGTGCTACTTGCAGGAGGACGTGTGCTACACGGCCTTCAGCCTTGGGCCAAGAGATCCGAAGCTTTTGGGTCTTTGGACTGGCGGGCCGAGAAGCAAGTGACATGGAAAGCAGCTTTTGTTGGCGTGTTTGTGTTTGTGTTTGTGTTTGTGTTTGTGTTTGTGTTTGTGTTTGCGTGTTTGCGTTTGCGTTTGCGTTTGCGTTTGCGTTTGGGTTTGTGTGTGTGTGTGTGTGTGTGTGTGTGTGTGTGTGTTTGTGTTTGTGTTTGTGTTTGTGTTTGTGTTTGTGTTTGTGTTTGTGTTTGTGTTTGTGTGTGTGTGTGTGTTGGTGTGTGTGTGTGTTACGTACTGTTTTTTTGTTTGGGACGGCTTTGAACGGGAGGCGTGCTGGAATTTCTACGGACACAAGATTAAGTAGCTCCTTGCTTGTTGCAATGGGGGATTTTCCAACTGGTCTCCCTTCAAGCTCAGGGTGGACATTGGTGCATATGTCTCGCTCATCAAGTCGACCTCCGTTCATGGGAGGAGGGCAGCAACCTTTGATGACGAGTGGGAAACCACCAAAGAGGATGGTGACCAGCCCACTCAACATTTACCCTCACTTGAGCAAGCATGGACATTGGCAAGACCCTTTGTTAGGTATCATTTTTCCGTTTTGTGTGAAGCGTTGGTGATGCGGGCCTTCCAAAGTCGATGGGTTTCGTTTAGCACAATTTCGAAATCAATGAATTAAATGGCCGCGGGTCAAAACCAATGGTACCATTTTGGGGTAGGTGCACCACCCATTATAGTCTATTTTAGTGGGGATTGGGATGTTCACTGGGGGTACGGGGTTTTGACCCATAGCCAAATTTCCCTCCTTTTGCTTTTGCATGCCGGGCTTTCGGGCATGCATGTGCCAAGGTGTCTTCGATCAGGATGGTGATGGGCACATCACCCTGGAGGCAGATCGGGAAATACCGGGCTTCGGGCTTTGGGGAGTGAGGAGAGGGGAGAACTTGCGATGGTTTGTTTGGTTTCCCTTTGCTTTTCTTTGTTTTCCCTTGAACATGGGATGGTCAGAAGGGTGGCCCTTAGGTCCTTTACCAGTTGCTACCCTTGCAACCACGATCCAACAAACAAGCACATGAGTCATGAGCGATCGATCATCTACTGAGTCTACTGATAGTTTGTTTTAGGAGATAGGTTGACAGCCCAACGTCTGCTCCAAAATCAGGACATCTTTTGCAGACGCATACACACACACACACAAATTTGTCAGTTGCGCATGCGACCAAACTTTTGCAGAGCACCCTGAAGAGCATCCCTCTGGACAAGAGCATTGTCTTTACCTAGTGCCCTGCGAGGAGCTGAAAAAGATCCTGGAGAACGGGAGCGTAGAAGAGGCAAGACGGCAAGACGCGAGCGGTGCCGGGAGATGTCTGTGGGCCTGATAGTGACTGGGTTCCTATGAACAGCTCAAGTGGTCCATTCAGGCTTTTACATGGATCTTCTTTTTTTTTGAGCATCCATGTATCAAAGGCAATGGGGCAAGAGCAGGCAAGCGGAATCTAGCTTTGAGCCAGCTGAAGTGTCAACAACAACAACCAGACACAAACGAAACCAGGAGAGCGCTAAAGTCGAAGGCAGCGACCACAGCGCCAACAAAGCGCCAAGGAGCAAGAACAACCCAGAAGCACGCAGGCCAGTCACAGATAGCTTCGCAGAAGCTTGGCCCTCGCAGTCCAAAGGCTTGGACGGCCCTCTTGTCAGAGGATCCGTCACAAAACTTGGTATGTTCTCGGATCTCGAACAATGGATGTTCGCTCAACGTGACCAACACCGGGCTATGAGTTTTAATGAGAGAACACCCTCCAAAATGGTTGGCGGACATAAGTCCCCGGTAAAATAAAACATACCACCTGTTCTTATTGCCGTTGGCGTAAGTGTTTCATGACTGTGGCAAGCATTCAAACTCCCGGGTGTGCGCTGCCTTGATAAGGATGTACATGAGCTTGTTTGCATTAGTGTAAGTCATTTGTTCCGCGGGTAGTGTTTGTTGAAGTTAGTGTTTCACTTGTGACCATTTGGTCTTGATGCTTGATAGGAGGTCGGAGTCACCAATGGAAGATGCGCGCGCAAGCTGCGTGTGGCAAATACTTGCAAGGCGGCATACAAGGGCTTCGTCTCATGGGGGCATCACCTGTCGCTCCCCTCTCCCAGAGCCCCATTCTGTGGTCATATGTGTCAGGCTTGTCGGGCATTGTTGGTGATTTCTTCGCGGATTCCTCATTTGCCATGTCAGGATCAGCCAGTGTCCTTAACCAAACACGGCCAATAATCCTCTGATGTCAAGAAGCAAAAACAGACGGCGAAATCGATTTGTACATCAGAACCCTGCTCCATCTCATGCCCTTGCCAGTCCTTTGAAGGCTCTTCTGGCCCTGGTCAAAAGCCATGGTTCGGGCGGGACCTTTGGACCTCTCGAAATGGCTGGGCTGTTGATTTCCTAACAGCCCACACGTCCCTTTCACATATACTCCACATTTCACAGGATAGGGTGCTTCCCGTCTGAATGCTTGATATGGCACCCCGCCGCAACCGCTGGGCTCACTGAGAAAACAAAAATACTCAAAGACACGACAACATGAGACAAAACAGAAATGCACCACGGGGAAAGCAACACCATTTGTTCAAACGAGTCCTCACTTCAAAGAGATAAAACCACCCGCCCTCTTTGGCCGAACTTCGATCCGACTTCGCAGGCCCTCCGAGGAAGGTCATCCGAGGAGATCCTGAAGGTGGGGGCACGGGTCACGCATTTGGCCCTACCTTGTGGAGTCGAGCAGCCCGGGCCCCCGATTTCTGGAATCCCATTTTCGGAGCTTGGGCTTCCGAAGCTGCCACGGCAAGTGAGAGACGCGCTGTGGGGCCATGGTGCATCGACTTGCCACGTTTCCGACCAATCTGCTTGGCTTTGATCACTTTCGCCGAATTCATTGGCCGTTGCAGCAGGGTTCTACCTGGCTTCGGAGGTTGATTATAGTAGCTGTATGAACCTTGCGGACCACGATACTGTAGCCATGTTCATACTAGCTTACTACCCATGTTAGCATGTTAATTGGGTTTCACACGTTACTATAGCAATGTAAATAGTAGCTTACCATGTCAATTGGTTTTGCTAACCTTACCTCTACTTCTCATGTTATCATGTCAGAACCAAATATCAATGGGCTTCGGTCGCTCGGAAAGGCGGTGGACACCAATGGCGATGGGTCCATAGACTTTGAGGCGCCCACGGACTTTCGTTTCGACGGCCGCGAGACACGTCTAGCGGGGTTCCCTTGGTTTCTCTTTTTGTGGATGCGACCAGCTGGGAGATGTGGTGGTTGCACCAGGGGTGGTTGCACCAGATGGGGTTGCACCTGCCATCGCAGAGTTCTGCTGGGCTCAGTGAGCCTGCTTGAATGTGGGGCGTGAGGGAGAAGAGTTGCGTTCTGCATGATTTTATTTGCGCCATTCCTGAGACACATGGATGGACTTGCCACTTGGTCTGCGGCCAATTTTGCCTGCTCAGGGGACCCCAGAACACGGGTTCGAATACACAGCTTCCAGTTGCAATACGCATCGACAATCATGTGCGTAGCAGCCTGAGGCTGGACCATATATACATACATATATATATATATACATATATGTATATATATATATAGTAGGACCCCCCTCCAATACCAAGGTTTTCCTGCTTAAACATGTATGTGTTGCAGGTTTTTCGGTACAGCAAGTCATTTTTTGAGGAACACCTGGAGTTGAGTTGGGGTCCTGCTGAAGACGAGAACATGCGTTTGATATTTGTGATGATACATGTACATCTTGGGAGGACACATGCAATCAGGATGGCTCCAAAGGTTATTAGATGAGAAGAGATCACATAGCTGACTGATTCAGAATATGTGTTGGAGTGTATGAGTTCATAAACTCTGGACTGTTGGAGGGACCGTGGCAACTTGTCTCTTGAGGGGAGGGGGTGGCGTGGCAACTCTTGGGGGACCCTGGGGTGTGGGGGGGTGGGGGGGCGGGGGGCGTGGCGTGGCAACTGTTGGGGGGAGGGGGGGGGGGTGGTGGCAATCTTTGAGAGGGGGAGGGGGGGGGCAACTGCAGGGCGGTGACCCCCCAGAGTTGCCAGGGACCCCCCCCACCCCTTCTCCCCCCCCCCCCATTCTTTGCGGGCAACAAGTTGAACGCCCCGAGAAGATTTATAATATGCCCCTGAAAGTTTCTAAACCCAGGATTGGGTTCAAAAACCCTTTGCTTGCCTCGCTGCGTGGCAAATGGATATTGTTTTTCCCGGAGAGCGCAAAGGGCTCCCAGCAAGCAAGCGTTGGTGTGAGAGGTTCAAGCATGGTGTATCAGAACGTAGCTCAAACATTTGCAAGCGAATGAATTAAACAATGAAAGACAATAACATACCGGATAAGCGTTGGACACGTCTCAGCAAGCAACGCCACTCCAAATCATCCCAAACTTGCACAATGGATATTCTTGTTTGGGATATTCAAATCTTCGATCCCAGTGATCGCGATTTGAGCAAATGAAGAACAACTGCGCTTTACAGCATTATTTTGGACCTCTGACTCCTGGAAGTTTCCATTTTTGAGATCTGAACCTCCGACACGTGAAATGTGAATTCCTTTCCAAGTAAGATGTTACTTCAAATTGAACTGACATTTTGAATAGAATTCAACAAGGACATGGTTCACCAGAATTTCTATATTCCGTTAGAAATTAAAGTTTCTTTCTAAATCGGAGTTGAAGGACATACTTCAATTGGCTTTTGAACATGATTTCAATTAGGAATTCATCCCAAAAAATGTGGCTCAAACAAGAATGGTATTTGTTTTTATAACAAAACCGGTTCAACCCAGAATTTAGATTTTAAACTAGAGCTTGAAAATGAGCTCTTTGCAAACATGGTTTTAATTAAATGTCACTTGGAATGTTAAATAGAATCTAGTACGGACATATTTCAACCAGAATGTCTATTTTGATACCTTATTCCTTTCGAAATACGTTTCGCACTGCTATTCATTATTCTTGTTGTTTACACTCTGGACCTTTGTTCTTTTTGGGCCTGTGCAGGTTTCAGAGCTTTCTTTTTCGGGAGGTTCTGTTTTTTGGGGCTTGTGCAGTTGTCAGAGTAGGTGAAAAGGGGCATGGGCCCATGTTCAAACCCCAGTAAAATGTGACGAAGTGGATGGCCCGCTTTGAAGTTTCAGAAAGGAGAGTTCGCACAACCATGAAGGCAGGGTTCACCAAACGTGCTCAAATGAGACTGGGTCAACATATTTGGTGGCAGCCATTTGAGAATGAATTGGACATTGATTTGGGAGTGTTTTTCTTAGTGTGCCATGTATGGCCAAAAGATTGGTACGGTCATCAGCCCCCCTCTAACCGAGGGCCTTAGGTTCCTGGCTGGCATTTTACGGGGCCCAAGCTGCAGAAAACAGATTGTGTCCAATGCTTTTGCTCTGTGTACTCACAAAACCATGCTTGAAGCTGAACACAGAATGCCTTTGAATCCTCAACAGACGAAACACCTGCTACAATAAACAACCGTACGGAGTGAACGCCGACGCCCATTTTGTCCATGCAAAGCAGGAAAGTGCTGTAATTTGCAACACTTTCGTGTGTTTCTACAAGCAACATCTCAAGGGCAACATTTCAGCAAAAATGGTCCGAAACGTGGGTTTTAGACTAGTTTGTCGGACGCTTCAGTTGTTGTCAACTATGAAGCTACCGCGCGCACGCAAGCTCTTTTTTTTGCTCATGCCCATTGCTTCGTTATCAGGCGTGGCGGCGCTTCAGGGCTTTCCCTGTTTTGTTGAACAAGACATCTCTGCCACAAAGATAACGCCACTGCCACTGGCGCACGTGTTCCTTCAAGAGCTGATTCAAGTGTCCTCATGTCAGGCCGCATTCACCGGTTGCAACATGTTAAGAAGCTTTGTTTCTTGCACTATGCTACAGGCTCCCGCGCCGATGACGCAACCTTTCCCGCGCCCAGCCCTGGCATCAACACAAATGACAAAGCTGGTCGATCGTCATATGTGTTTCGTGGTCACATGCCTGCGCACGTGACAATGACGCAAACATCCACCCCCACCTACCCTCCACCCAGCCTAAGCATCAAGTCGATCGCAAATCAGTTTGACAAGTGTGTGATCCATAAGACAAGTGACAACAATGGTGGATAATCATGTGTTTCGGGATCAGATGCCCGGGCACATGAACACAACGCAAACATGCCCCCCCCACCCCCCCCCACCCCCCCCAAGCATCAAGTCGATCGCAAATCAAAACGACAATTCTGCGATCCATGCGAGGACAGAGAAGGAATCATCGAAATTTGTGTGATTTTAGTGTAAACAGGGTAGCAAATTCAACAACACCGTATGTTGCAGTGCTTTCAGTTATGTGAAAAAAGTGCAGAGTAGATATGACCCTTTTCAACTAGAATGGTGGGAGGTAGAGTCAATTATCACGATGACATTTATGGCCCAGAGGATCATGTGTCAGAGGTACGTGTTATCTTGTCCCATGATGTACAAACAATTCAAGATTGATCAGTGACATGACCACATGTCATTGCTTTGGCTCAAGAAAAGAGCGCGTTGCACGCGCTGCCACAAGGTTAAGGGAGAGGTCGCAGTCACGGCGGGGTTCGTTCCTTTTAAGGTCCCGGGTTCCCCCGTTGTTGCGAAAACTGTGTTTCCCTCTCCTTTGAGTGGTTATCAGCCGTAACGCTTTTCGGGTAAACAAACCCTTCCGTGACTGCGACCTTTTGGTCGCACATGGAAGTCGGCCCTCACCGCGGCACTCGCGGTGGGAAAGGGCCGCGTGCCCGTCTGTTCAACACCCTGCAACAGATCGTCGTAGACGAGTACAAGAGACAGGACAGACGCTTCCGGTGGATCAGGTTTGCAGACGCCTCAAAGCAACAGATTGAGGCCCTCTTTTCCTGGCGTGAGACATTGGATAGTTGGTACCTGTGGGGATTCGACCGAGAAGCCTTTGAGGTAATCGAGGCCGCGGACAACGCTTATCAGCAACGTCTTGCATCGGTTGAAACCACAGGTGTGGTCTTGTCACAAGGTGTGCAGTCGCAGGATAGAGCCGCAGCCTCTGGCGCGGCGGAAGCAGCAAGCAGTGCAGCGGATTGGTTACGACCTCCTACGCCTCCTTCAGCTTCATCCTGGCTACAAGACTCACGCACTCCATTGCCTCGTATCCGACCGTCAGCAGAGGAAAGACAAGTGTTGCGAGGGGTGCCGCCAAGGCAGCGCTTCGCGGGGTATACGCTAGAGCTGCGGAAACGCGGCGGGAGAGCAGCAGGGAACGGTCGCCACAAAGATCGAGGTCCCCATCGTCACCAAGGCGAGGACCGACTGCTGCTACCCCTGTGGAACCTCGGGCACGCAGTGTTGAACCCGCGCTTGCGCGGGAGGGCAGACCATCCAGGACTTCCCTTGCTACACGGCCCATTGTTTTGGCTCCGCAGAACAGTATATACCCTGTGACACGATTTGACGAGCACGGCACTTGGGTACTCGTTCGGGAGGCTTCACAGCCGCGTGAGGCGACATCTCACCGCCGAGCACAGCGGACATCCCGGCATCTCCGTCAGGCTGACCCGTATTCGCTTGCGGACGAGACGTGGAGAGATCCCCCAAGAAGATCATCCCCAAGCTCGCGATCACGATCTCCAGATCGACGCCCAGGACCAGCGGAGCATTATCGTCTCGACGCCTATAGCTCAGAGGAGGAGCCTCCGCAGGACGCGGAATCCCTCACAACTGGCAGGGCGGCTTACGCGCCTCGGCGCGTGTACGAGGCACCGACACACACTGAGCCTATTGCTTTGCATAGCCGGAGGATTGGAGCAATACAGCCACCGCCATCAAAGGCCGCACCAAAGGTCATTTTTGGCAGCAAGCCTCCATTGCCCAAGGAACTTCCTCGGGCAGCTTCTTCGGTACCGGCAAAAGCAGTTATTCCAAGGAAATCACATCCTCGGGCAAGGTCTCCTATTCGGACTCAGAGTGCATTCGGGTACAAGGCGCCTCCGCGAGGTTTGAACAAGGCCGAACCCAGAAGCAAGTCAGGCTCAAACCCACCACAAGGGTACATCGTCAAGCCGCCGCCGCCGCAGGTCGTTAAAGCAGCTGCTACAAGCGCTGCAACTTCCGAGGCCGGCGCCCGCTTTCGATCGCCACCAAGAAGGCCGCCGCCTG